CAAGCATGATTTAAGAACTAATATGCTCATATTGATCATTTAATCCCTTAAGAAATCTAATAACTCGATCTCTATCTCTGATCTTACGCATGCTGCTATATCCCCCACAAGAACACTGTACCTGGCATGTGCATCTTGGAAGTGGAATCAGGTTGTCAAACTCATCCCAGAGAATCTTCAACTCTGTGAAATATTGAGCAACAGTTCTGTTTCCTTGCTCTAATTTGCAAATGTCATCTTGCAGATCTGAAATTCGAAAGATATCAGCCTGAGAGAATCGATCCTTGAGATCATTCCAAGCATCTTCTGCATAGTCTATCCACAAAATCGATTGTGCAATAGAGTCATCAATCGATCTGTGAATCCAGCCTAATACTGTATTGTTGCATCGTTCCCAATCTGAGTAGTTTTCATCGGATCTTGAAGGAATCCTCACAAATTCGTCTATAAAACATAGTTTGTTCTTTGAACTGAGAGCCATCCTCATAGCTTGTGACCAGGAATGGTAATTCGAGCCATGCAACGATGGTGAAACCAGTATAGTGGATGGATTTTCATTAGGATGAAGGTAGAGAAGATTTCGTGGATTATTCAGGAAATCAGGTGGTTGGATCTGATTCTTCTTCGAATTATGTGCCTGGTTGTGGCTTCTTTTTGGATCTTGGTTTTCTGTCTCACTTGAATTTTCCATGGTGAAGTTTGAAGGATCCATGGAAGCACTTGAAGCAAGCGCAGCCAAAGAACAGTGGATACCAGAGCTCTGATACCATGTAAAGAATCTTGAGATACATCACCCCAAAAGCTAGCTCAAAGGGTGAGAGTGTCCAAGACCTTATAAACTCTACATTGGTTGCACATACAACCAATGTGAGACTATATATCTCAACAGAACGATGTGTTTATAAAATTTTTTTATAAATTTTTATAAATTATACTATATATTCTCAAAAGTAATATAACCTAGTATACTTCAAAAAATATATAATATAATTTATAAAAATTTATAAATAAAAAATTTATAAATATAATCTTTCCATTAAATATAAGCTGATAAAACATTAAGATAGCGTGTTTATAAATGCAAACGTAATCAAAGGGCGGAACAGTGACCATTTTACCACTGTTGGCCAAAAAAATTACCAGACTGCCACGCCAACAGTAAATTTTGCCAAAATGCCACGTGTCATATTTCGCTACACTGTGTAGCGAAATATGTGTGCAATTAATTCGCTACACAGTGTAGCGAAATATGCCACGTCAGAACCAAAAATGTCACGTGTCAAAATTATAGAAATTCGCTACCCTATGTAGCGAATTTCTTCAATTTGACACATGGTATTTTTGGTTCTGAGCAGTCTGACGTGGCATATTTCGCTACACTGTGTAGCGAATTATTTGCACACATATTTCGCTACACAGTGTAGCAAAATATGTCACGTGACATTTTGACAAAATTTATTATTAACGTGACATTCTGGTAATTTTTTTGGCCAAAAATGACACTTTAGTCACTGTTTCTCAAACGGCCTCATAGGTGATAAATTTACGATGTAGAGTAGGGTTGAGATGCGGATTTACTCTCATGATTCAGCAATATGACCTCACCTGACCATTATATAAATACATTTTAATAAGGGAACATCAGCAACCATGTCATTCATTCAACTGTGCATTGAAATGAGGGACAGATTCGAAAGAAAAAGAGAGTACAGACGAATTAGCGTTCAGCTTCTGGGTCTTCACAACTCGTGAAGTGGTGTACTGGTGTCTAATAACAACTAGTATCAATTTTGTTTCACCATATGCTACAAAAAAGCATAATAATAAAATGGATATATTTTTCTCATGTTGTAAGACACAAATTATTTCATTTAATACATAAAAAAGTGAGTAGAATTTAAATTTTTCTTTCTTTCTTCTTCTTAATGAGTTTCATTCATTCTTTTATGCGTTGAATGAGAAAAACATTTTCCAATAATAAATCAAAATCTTCTTGGGGTTGGCGGGTATATCGGATTAGACCGAACAGTTCAATGGAGTTCATCAAAAATCTAACCTCAACCGGTTCGATCGTACATGTATTCAAACACGGAGCGTATTGTATGAAGTAAATAATAATATTGTCATGTATTATTTCTCATGTCATCTCGTACGAGATAATTATATAATATGCACATTCCATCTTTTTTTCTTTTTTTTCTTTTTTATTTGAATTTATACGAGTCTCACACATTTATATATATATATATATAAAATAAATTTATTTTCTATAATATAAAAAATAATAAACCCTTAGTTTATTTGTGATATTTTATTATTTATTGTATACTTTTTTATAAATTTAAAACAAACGATTCAATCAATAAATTACTGGTTCCATCATTAATTCAGTATTCTAAGTGAGTGAATAATATTTAGTATTTCCCAATATCCCAATAACCATTTAGTTTTCTCTCTCCTCGCTTTGGTGGTGATCATGTGTGGTTTAACTGTTTCAGTGCATGATGTTGGCTCTGTGCCCGTGGCTGGAGCTACAATACGTGTTGGGGTGGTGGTGGTGTTTTTAAAGGGAAGAAGAACCAAAAGTAAAAAATGCAGTGATGGCAATTATGAATTATCGTGGTCTATGCCACATAAAGTCTGTGAGACTGAGGAAAAAGCCAAGGCTGGGAGTGTGGCAGGTTTGGTATGCCAAAAGCAAAGGAAGTAAAAGACAGAATACTATAGCTGCATCTGTACACATCAAGATTCTTTAGGGGCTTATAATCATGATTTCGTTAGAATAAAAAAAGAGTTTAGAAGAAAAAATTTCTTATATATCCTTCAATTTTCGTATTGACAAGAGTTTCATGTATCAATTTTTTTAATATGAGTCCGACATGTTTTTTTGCCTCTATGTTATAAGAAAAGTCATATCATGTAATATGAAAAGCATAAAATCCGTAAAAAAATATATCAATAAGTGAAAGATGATTTCTTTAGAAAATGCATAATTCGGTTGAAAACTTTAAATTTTTATCTGTAATTTTTTCATAAATGTCAGACAAGTTTTTTTTTTTTTTTAAATATATATCTTTTTTAAGCTAAACACGAAAGTAGCATATATTTCACAGTTTAAAATATATTTTTTCTTATTCTTAAAACACTTAAAAACATCACAAAATATGATATGCCATGTGTAATTAATTTTTGTTTTTTCTGGCACCAATACATCCATATTGTAATATTTTTTGTGTTTCTTTGATTTAATAGAGAGTAACAATTAATAGGCACTCATTACACAATTACAAATTTCCATATTATTGACATATATCTAGTTAAATACGGATACAACGTTAATTTATAACTGTGTTAAGTAAATTCACTTATTTTTACACTTGTAAATAAATGTCTGAAAAAAAAATTGTTTAAATTTTCTCTTAAATGAATAAACAGTCCACCAGCTACAAATTTAGTGACATTTTACATTATTATTTTATGTCTAATGGTATCTTATTTCACTGAAAAAGATTATTTAAAAGTAAATTTTTTAAAATGGAAAAATGAAAATATGTTTATCATTAATTTAATTTGAAATAGATAACTAAAATGTAATGATTTATGTTAAAAATAATCCTATTTAAATAAAAAATATCCACAACAAAAATATTAGGTGCAACATGCAAGACATACCGGGTGGGTCATGTGTCATCACAAACACAAATGATCTCCCGTTCATTGAAAATTGTCAATTGGGTGTGGTTGAACCCAGAGGCATCACTGCATAATTGCCACCTTATTCTTTGCATGACGCAAGTCTGTTGGGTCAAATTATTTATTTTTAATTTAATTTTTAGATTTTTAATACTTTAAAAAAATGCTTTTACATATCATCGTTTATTTTATTTTGATACTTCCTATCTCTCATGGTGGTAAATTTTTTCAATGAATTATCTGCATTCAATTAGGAGGATAAAAAGAAAGAATGAAAAAAAAGGGGATAAAGCATTTGAATGCTTCGCTGCAGTATTTATTACTGCTTTGTGTTTCTGAACTCCCATAAATTCTCATTAATAAGATGATAAATTCATTTTCTTCTATTAAGACAAACCTCTGTTCACAAGTTGGGCTACCAGAAACTCCCCATTCTACTTTGGTGCGTTCAACCAAGTTAACCCATTGTTTGAATATCAAAGAAATACAAAATAAACCACGCCTGTAAGAGATGCTAGAGAAATAGAAGCGGAGTTTAAATTAATTGAGTGTCAACATAAATTTTTTTATATTACCTTCAAAAGGTTGCATACTTTAATATTTTTATTAAATTAATAATTTAGTGTATACAAATTAGTCTAGAGTCTCACAAAATAGTGAAGAACATGTTAAAAATATACTTTCATTACAAAATTACTGTATTTAAAAGTTAAATAAAATAGCTTTACTCTTACCTACTCGCAATTTCTCCAGATAGTTTAAGATAAACTAAGGACAGGCTTTGATGCGATAAACATGTAGATGTTTTGTTTTGTTTTTGATACATTAAGTAATAGAAATTACTGTAGTTATTCCCGAACTTATGTTGTTGGGGTGGAATTCAATTAATAGAGAAGATGAACAGAATACTTGAAATCATAAAACAAATAATGTTGTTATCAAAAAAAAAAAAAAAACAAATAATGTTGTTAAAGATGAGCGTATAGACCGGAATCCGCACCCGCCCCATATCACATGGATACAAAGACTATAACTCATTTATGCTTTACAGAAAAGTGAAGAGTGAACTATTGGGTCAATTCCAACTTCTTTTGCGACTCCTATCACTGCTCTAGTTTAATTTACAACCTCAGCCCATGACCATAATCATCATAGTAAAAAAAAAACTACGAGGTTTCCAAAAAAAAAAAAAAAACTACGAGGACCTAATCCTATGTCAAATCATCAACGCGTTCTTCTAGCTGCTTATATGTAACCAATATATCATATCATAGAATGAATAGCTGTACTATTAAACCTACGCTACAAGTTACAATTGGCTTTCGGTGTTAGTTGTATATTGTGAAGAAATCTTTCTGTACAAATCACCCTCACTCACCAAAGATATATCTTCAGGAGACAACATTGTACATGTGCTCAAGTAATGTTGAGCACCCCGCACCCTGCATCGAAACATCATGTCATTGAGCAACTATTCAAGGTTACCTGGTTAACTTCATACAATCAATCAAAAGGATGAAAACAACTGAATTTGCTTCACAAAAATGTACCTTCCTTTTCTCTTCTCAGCGCCTTGTGAAATGCGGAAAGCTTCTGACCTCGAAATTTGGCGCAATGAAGATAGATATTCATTGAATGCAACACCTTTCAGTGCCAAGGATATTCTTGCAGGAACAATGGAATGGATGAGGTGGAACAGGGATGTTTTGTTTTCACTGTAATGCAGGCTCCCAAAGTAAGGTTTGACATCAAGACATGCCCAAAAATGTTTTTCAAAAAATCACCAGAAAAAAGTGTCACAAGTGGAATTGTGTATTGACTATAGATAAACGGTAAAAATATATACCTCTTCTGCATATCACTTATTGGGTTGTTCAACTCTAAATCCTTTCCAGTATAGATAATCGTGCTTTTTGAGAGATCATGTCCGGATAATTTCCCCAGTGCCATAACATTAGTTGTGGAAGCCAACATCTCAGAAGTTAAATCAACCCTGTTCGCATAACCCAACTTTGACCCCACATCTGCTATAAGTTTAGCATAAAAACAAAACCCGTGTACAGCAACTGTGGACATCAATATTTGCTTATCATACCAACTAGATGTTGGTTCATCAGAAAGGACCGTTGGAGGTTCCATAATATCCTGCACGTAAATATATTATCAGAATTGAGTGGCGATCCAACACAAAGGAAGAAAAGTTTCACAATTTTCATTTCAGCTATAAAAGGCACTTACATGTTTTTGTTCGTGATCATAAAACAAGTCAGCTTCTGAAATTAGATTGCTCAGCCCACTAGCAAGTTTAACAACTTGAAAAGCACCTAGCTGTTCTGGGGTAGCTTGCTGTCTTAAATCCATTCGACAGTCACGGTCACGGAGTTTTCTCCATAAGTTTTGTACCATATCTGTCTCCATTGATGAACTGGACTCAACAGACGTTGATTTTATATTGAAACCCACACGACTGCATTCATCCATCACATTGGCAATTTTAGTTTCCATATTTTCATCTAGAAAATCTTGCAGAACCTCTTTTGGAGAAGAATCTGGAATTTCAGTATTCACCAACAAATCTGAATTTTGTGACACTTTTGTCAAGCGCTTACGAACACTGAAAGTGAATGGTTTCAACTCATTATTCACAGAAACTTCTAGAGGACCAACAAAATGGCCGGAAGTCACTGCTCCAGACATTGTCTCTGTTCCATTTTCAATTGCAGTCTCAGGAACAATCGTTGATTCTGGCACACAGGATATATCAGAAAATTTACATGTTTCATTTAAGCATGTATCATCGGCTGTTGCTGAAGATTGAAAACAGTCCTCTTCTGAATCCTCCGATTCAGAATAAATCAGTTTGCGAACTGATGTGCTGGGGTAGTTTTCGTTCAATTGAAACTCAGAGGGACATACATTATTTTCTTTGATGGATTGTCTCTTGTTAGCTTCGTCATGTGTGTCTAGAGGGTATCCATTATTCGTATCCTCATCCTCGGAATCAGAGGACATTACTACAAGTTTCCTTCGACCATTTTGCCGAGAGGATGCTAGTGGGGATCCAGAAGAATTGGAAAACTCAGAAATAGCATTATATTGAATTTCAAGCTCCCTGTAATCTGTTATAGATCCATTTCTCTTTATCATCTCCACCTTCTTGGCCTCTATGTAATCAGTCTCCATATACTGCACATCTAAATCGTTTTGCCTTTCATTTATATGAAGATGGTCTTCCTTAACTAACCCTTGAAAGCTAGAGTTTAATTCGTTCTCAATTAGTTCGGATAACTCTGAGGGGAAATCCCAGGGCATTATCTTTGGTAGTATCTGATGGCCAACCTCAAGATCGAATGGAAGTGAGCCAAAACGTATTTGCGCTTTTCCATCTGTACAGTAAAGAGGAAAACCATAAGTTTTTGCAAGCCACTGCAATGGTAATAAGAAAAATGGAAACTGTAAATAATATTATATTCCAATATTAATTCCCTAAGCACATATATATCAAATAAAAAACTACAAAAACTCAAAAAAAAAAACTTTGGGAGTTGTTGACTTCTTAGAGCATCTTAGGAAAAAAAAAATCTTTGTACCAGAATAGAGTGAAAGCTGTTGAGAAAACGGGGACTGAAAAGGGAAGAGAGAAAGCAAAGGAGAGAAATAATATTTATTGAAAGATTTATGAATGGAGTAAATAATACTGATACCTGACAGTGTAATATATGATAATAATATACTATGACTACAACAAACTACTTAATTAATTACTCAACTTTCCTAAACACTTTTACACTTCTGAAAACCATGTAGAAACCAAAAATCAACCTTCCCAACAAACAGCAAAAGAAAGGTCAAGACAAAAAGACAAAATATAATTCTTATCATGGCAATCTCAAGGAAGACAGATCATATAAACAAAAAAATATGTTTTGAGAATAAATAGATAACAGTGTAATTAATTTTGCTGGTTTTCCCGTTGTTCCACTTTTCATAATTACATAACTCATCTTACCCTCAAGTGTCGCTGCTCACACCTTTTAAATATTACTATATAGTCAATAAATCCATACAACAAAATATTTTCTGATGTGTCCCCGTTAACAGTTAAAGCTAATATGAATTAATAAAAGCTAGTCTTAATTTTAGAACAATCAAATTACACGGAAATGAATCAAATTTTGAATGACTACGGTTTTCTAATAAGATAACAAAGACAGTCTAAAAAAATGCATATATCCAATAAATTGAATAACCGTATGCTGGGTGATACACCTTTTATAAATCTTTTACTCTGGAGCCAGAACTGAAGATGCATAATGGTTTTTCGGATATCTCCATCACAAGACTGCATAAACTTCTCCAGTAAAAGAGGATGGATGTTTACTCCTTCTGTGAGACAAACCTGCAGGTCATTCATATAATATTACTATAAGTTTGGACAACAACTTCTTTTCCTGCTTTTGAAGGAAGATGGGAAGGAAATCCTAAAGAACATACAGTGTACAAATGGCAAAGCAATTCCTTTGGCAATGGCAATGAGAACGAGACATGGAGCCTATCAAAATTTTCAGGCAGGCCAGGATTATCACCTAATTTACAACAATAGTCTTCATAAATATGAACTCAAAAGTTATATGTTGAGCAAGAATACATTATTCTAACTAGTCATCTTACTATTGCTGGTCAATATAATTGGCCCCCTTGCTGTCTCAGCAATTTGTTGTATCGCAGCAATACATCCACGATCTTCAGGAAAAAGGATGTCCACGTCCTCAACTAGAATTAAAGTTTGGACTTTATCACATGCAACTACATTATTTTTGCCAAGTAATTTCTGTGATGCTCTACCAGGGTCATGAGCTTCATCATCAGATATGGAAATCAGTTCAACCACCCCACCATTCACCTCATCAGCAGTTTTACCATTGAACAAAGTTGGAGCCGGGGTCAATTTTGTAGTTTTCTTCTGTGAACTCGCAGTGTGTTCCAGTAATCTGAAATATATACATAAAAAAAGATATATTACCACAGAACAGGTTGACAGGAAAGCTTCTTACAATGAGTAACTTGGTTCTGATAAAATAAGATTGAATCAAGGCACACCATGTAACAAAAAGTTTAGGTATAAAGTGCCACACTCTAATTTTACTTAGACAAATCTTTTGCTTTTCTATATCTATTAGGAACCCAGAAACGGGTTCTGAGTTTTCACAGAGAGAGAGAAAGGAAAGGAAGAAGAATGCTTTAGTATTGTTTTTTAAATTACAAAGAAAGAACCTAAGGAGATAATCCTCCTTCCAAAGGTTGGCCCTTTCACAACAGAACCTTTGCTCAGTTCTCAAATCTGAATTCAGGAATGCCTCCCTTCTACCTTGCTTCTGGTATTTAAGCCCAAACACCTGTACCTAACTACCAATCGCCTTGATAGAATCTGACTGTAACTAACAGCTAACTAAACAGACATCCAACGTCTAAGTAACTCTAACCCTGTTTCCATTTATTATTCTGGGTCCTATCAATATCTCAGTTAAGGTTGAAGAAAAAAAAGGAAGAACATGTCCAGTCTCACATCGCATCAAAAGCTTAACTTAAGATATCTAGGGACTCCAACACCACTTCTCCATGCTTAGTTCATACTTGTTTGACAATTCCTACTCGGTTCCTTAACATCTAAAATTTTGTTCTCACTCTCCCCCAATGGATAATTGATGTGCCTTCGGCATATAAGTATTTCAGATTGAAAAGAACAAGGATTTAACAGTAGTTCAGAGATAAAAAGTATTATTTTTAATGAATTATTGAGAATCTATCTACAGGCACACTTTCACTCTGATTTTATGTTTTTATAGGAGGAAAGCATGGAAATAAGCTATGTTGCAAATAACCAACTCACGCGAATAGCATGAGAATGGCGCGGATAGCGCCAGATTAAGGAAGAAAGAGAAAACACCACTGTAACTCACGCTAATAGCGTGATTTTCACGCTAGTAGCGCCAAGAACAGAGTTCTCCACTGCTTTCCCACACGAATCTGGCGCTGATCGCGCGGGCGTCGCGATTTCAACGTCCTGATTGCATATTTGGATAAAAATAGAAAGAAAAACCAAATCTTCTGCAAGATTATGACCTGATTGGGTGATGGGTTATAAAAGAGAGTCAGAAACCCTAAGAAAAACAACTTTTTGCACGGGAGAAATTACGAATAACAGAAATCGGAGCAAGCTCTTGGTGACTGAAGATTCAAGATTTCTTCTTCCCATTCTTCTGGTTATTATTTTATTTTATGAATTCTTTTCTATACATTGAATTGTCAGACATGAACATGTGTGGCTAGTCTTCTATTATTGTGGTAAGGGTTATAACCCTTAGTTTGGTTAATTTTATATTTAGTTATTCCAATTGCATTTATTTTATCTTGTTCTTCATCTTATAATTCTTTTAGAACTGATCACTCTATTAGGATTGTGAGGGTTAGGATTTTCAATAAGAATATTGAGATTCTAGTTCCTGACAAAGGATAAAATAAAAATTCATGTATGCACTAGGGATAGGCTTCATGAATTGCAAACGTGAAAAATTCACTGATTTAAAGGCTTAACTTGAAAAGGAATTTCTAAGGGATTAGGATTCTAATAGGGTTAATAAAGTTAAGAACACTAAGGAATTGGGCTTAACTAATCAATTAACAGATGGTGAATTGTTTGATCAATGGTTAAATTAGATATAAACATTAATTCATATTGCAAGGTGAGGATCATAAAAGTGTTGGCGTCTTTTACTGCAATATTCTTTTAAATATTTTCCCAATCTTAATATGTTATTTTCGAACTTTTAAAAGCATCCTTGAATTATTCACACGTTCTTGAATTGTTCTCAATTTTCACAACCACAATTATTCTCAAACCAATTTTATTAATCCAACAAGAGAGGAATAGTTAAAATAATTTTGGTGCCTCAATCCTCGTGGAGACGATACTCTACTCATCTTTTATTACTTGAAACGATCGGTACACTTGCCGGTTTTTTCGCAACAATAATCACACTGCTCTAGCTTTTAAATCTCCAACTATAGGCACAAAGACAACAAACATAGAAGACTATTTGATTTTGCAACAACTAATAAGTTACTGCTTTTGCAATCTGGCATACAGTATTGATTATTTATCATTAGTACAAGGACATCTACATTCCTATAATAACCCATATTAATTAATAAGCTAATTAGAAGATTAGTTAGGTGAAAATTTGAAATAATGATAAGTACTAAAGATTATTGATCAATACATTTTCCTATGTTTTATTTCGGTTAAGAACATGTTTAATACTTGATGGAGAGGCTTTCATGACAAACCTATTGTTTCATGTTGATAATTAATCATGGATTGTGTTAAGTTGTGTCAAAATCCTCTGTTATAGAACGCTAAAGCGCCGCATTGCCCCAGTTCCAAAAATTTTCTTTTCACCTATGAGTTCATCATTAAACCATCTAGATGAGTCAAGGAAGCAAGGTAAAGATCCTTAGATCGATTTTACCCCAATTCCTTACGTTTTAAGGAGTTAACCGTCATAACTCTCGTTAACGTTCATTTATATTGACACCACGCTTGAGTACCATGAGAAGCGAACAAACCAGGTGCACACGAAGTGTTACACTTTATGGTATCAAAGCAGCTTTCTAAGGAAATTAGAACCTAAGTAGACTATATGTGTTGTTTGCTAAGTGATTCCTAATGGTAACTTTAATGATGCATATCTGAACATTGAGTGTCAAATTGATCAACTCATTTCTTTGTGTGATGTATGTAAATTTATGGCAAGTACTAGGAACCCTTGTGGACGCCCTCGAAGGGCTTCTAGCAACCAGTCAAACCCTACTCTGACTACCTTAGCTGGGATGCAAGAGGAGCTGTTAGCAAGCAGACAAGCCAATGAGGATATGATGAGGGCATTCATGGAGGAATTGAGGGCTGGCCAATAGGGTAATCCGCAGCAGCCACACCATAAGGATCGAGATCATGAGACTAAAGCCAATCAAGGCCCAGGATAGAATAAAGCTAATAGTAAGCCAGATATTAATGACAAGCAAAATAGCTGAGTGACTTTTGCAAGCACCAACCACCTAGCTTTGAGGGAGCATATGACCTGATAGCCGCTGCTAAATGGCTGCAATCTCTGAACAAGATATCCAGGGTGATGGAGTGCCCAGATGATGCTCAGAAGGTGCTTTATGCTACTTATATACTCCAAGGAAATGTTGATGACTGGTGGGTGCGCATTAGGAGACAACTAGAGTAACAAGGCAGAGAAATTGACTAGAAGTTGTTTGAAAAAAGGAACACCTGATTTCTAGTGAAATATGAAATGCTCCTCCTCAAAAAAAGGAATAATCAACTAAGCCAACAAAGTATTGCAGGAAAGTGAAAGTATGTATAACATAAGGCAAATATAGTTGGTTAAAATTACTCGGCTCCAGAAGATTGTAATTTATCAGCAAGCATTGACAGGACGAATTAACAAACCTTTTGAACCCAAGTGAACCAAGAGCATCTCCAAAGTACTGCTTCAGAACAGTCCCATTTCTACTATCAGATGCATTGAGCTGTTGAGACAACAAGAGCCATAAACTTTACTCTATTTGGCTATATTCATGGTTAAAAAGACAGACATGTGAAAACAAAGAAAATAAATGTTTTAACAATTATTAGATGCTTTAAAAAACCAAGATGCTGATAGGAGTTTTTTTTTTTAAAAAAAAAAGAACATATTGAGCAGATCTATTTCTCAAGGACTTCCTATTGAAAACTAGGCTAGCAAAAAGGTTATACAAGTAACTGTTTCACCATACTTTCTCAATGCTTTTAACTATATATAACAAATAACAATCATTCAGGCTATCATTCTTCACAGTGGGCATGAAAGAGCAGCTTAAATCCAAAGTTCAGAGAAGACAGCAAACTTCATAATACATCAAACTAAATCCAAATCTGGCTAATTGATTACTATGCTTGATCTTCAGTGATGCTTTTCAAAAATTACAAGGCTATTTGTAGGATCCATTGGATCAATGAATATTATCATTACAAAGGTGTATAAGTTTAAAAGCATAAATAGTATTGATACCTCTAAAACGTCAAACCCTTGCTCTTGGGCACAAGCATAGACTGCTGCAGACTTGCCACTCTGCAATATGATAGACTTACACTTTAGCCACTAATATGAACAAGAAGTGTTTACACTGAACAAAATATTGATTCTGGCAACAGGTAAACAACAATATTGCTCTGCAACTATGTTAAAGTTATCCAAGTCAAGAAACACTTAGAGGCACAGGTAGTAAACTTCTAGATTTTAAAATGCCAAGAAATACAAAAACAATCGCTCCTTGGTCCTTATTACTATCTTTGAAAATTAAAACAGATACTGAAGTTCAATGAACAAAAAACAATGACTAAATAAATAAAATAAAAACTGGGTTATCGCCAAATTACATGGTGGGGAAATACCCAACACTAGGGGTAGAAACAGTACAAGTGTAAATGTAGGTTTGTTGCCTAGAATTCAATAAGCCAAAAAGAAATTATGAGCGGGGAGCTTTGTATCCATTTTGACATGGTTTTATAATAAGGGATACAAGCAGCCAGATCTAATGTATTTTCATGGCCTTTAAGTCAAAAGAATGCAACCATAGCTAGTTTCTACTTTGTTCAGAATCAAATACATTTTCATACATTGTTGAACAGAGGAAACCAATTACTTGATGAAAAGAAAAATAGAAACTGAGGTTCAATAAACTAAAAACAATGACCAAACAAATAAAACATAAAATAGGTTTTCTCCGAATTAAGCTTGGAGGGAAAAAGGGTCATTACTAAACCAAACACTACTAGTAGTAAAAGTGTAAATGTAGATTTGTTACCTAGCATTCAATAAGCCACAAAGGAATTTATGAGCATGGGGTTGTGTATTCATTTCTGAAATGGTTTTACAGTAGCAGATATAAGCAGCCAGATGAAGTATATTTTCATGGCCTTTAAACAAAAGAATGCAACAATAGCCAGTCTTAACTTTGTTCAGAATCAAATTACTTTTCATTCTCCATATCACTTCCACTCAATAAATTATATTTTATCATTCAAATAGCACGAAATTTATGCACTCATGGTTTTATTATTTTTCACTGTTTTCGTTTAATTTTCAACATTCCACTTTCCCATGGTTTTACCTTTTACCAAATGGGCATCAGCTTTTATCTTGGTTTCACATAAAGCTCTATTTGAAAAGTTCTCATGACCTAGTTCTTTTTGTGAAACTACTACACCCATATTTTGACACCATTTTCAGAAACAGACCTTTATATTACTGAACAATGGTAGCTTTCAATAGATGCAAAAATGATTAACATAGGAAGCAATTCATGAAAAGAAGTGTATGCCGTAGTTTTGACAAAGTAGATTCCCACACACCCCGATAGGTCCTGTAATTAAAAGAACATTCTGCAGGGAATCATCCTCATCTATATCTTCTGAACGGTAGTCACTGTGAGAACAGTTATAATCATCGTCATCGTCTTGCATGTCACTTTTATCCCTGTTTGAGGAATCCTTCCTGCTTTGATAACGCCTTTCATGCCAAAGATGTAGCCAGTCACGCAAGAAATTCACAGATTCATCATTACCACATACCTACAAAAAATCATGAAACAAGAAAAGCAGAAATTAGGACCACAGAAAATTTAAAAAATACAGCTTTAATTTTTTAAAAATATATTCTGACCTCAACAGCCTTTGTCGGTTTGTATTTGTATGTCCATAAGCTGCTCTCAACCTTATCTTCACAACTACGGTAGTATGACCTCATGCTGCAGCACAGAATACAGGGGAAATCCTCACTATCAGGAAACAAATTTCCTAGCCAAGCCTAAAGCTTATTGAACTGAAAAATGAAGTCCCAACAGTCCCAGATGCAGCAGACCTTGTTTGAATGCAGTGCAACATAGTATAATTATTTTCTCTTTAGTGATTAATAAATTTCATTGATAAACTGCTCAGGGAACCCAAGTACACCAGACCAGTAGTTCAGTAGGCTAAGAGAGCGAGAAAAAATAAAGGTATATAACTGAACAATGATGCTTCCACAGGAAACCAACCATACACATGATTGACAGATGATGCATTTATCATCTGCACAGCACCTTGTATATGCATTTTTATGAAGATCGTCTAATTATTTAAAATCAGAGGTACGATTGGAGATCTCATAAATTTTCTGCCTTAAATATTTTCAACTTTTCCTCAAACATTTATTTACTATGATATCACTTATTCCAATTTGGGGATTTTCATGAAAATATCATTTATCTCTTTACTAGATTGTTTAAAAAAGAATACCACATACTTTATCCAAGAAATATCCCAGCTTATTGTATATTGCCAAATATAAGAATTTCAACATAACGTTTTACTTAGAACATTTGCAAATGCATCATATAACTAGAAAATTAAAAAGAAGCATAATTGGCTATGGCCAAATGTACAAATGTTATTGCAATGAAGATGTTGGGTGTGGCCTGAGCCATGCATATGTTAACCTTTCTTGAAGAAATCTACTCAGTGGCTCAGTATCTGTCTTTCTAAAAATGCCAGCTTGCACAGATAAAATAACAGAATCATCCACCTCCAAGTCCTGAAAAAAAAAATTGGCTAACAGTTAACAAATTATTAAGACAAAGATGAGCGTATATTTCACCCTCTAAACTAGCTTCCATGGATGCGGTTTACTAGGGACAGAACTACAGAAGGCCTTGATTAAAAATATACAACAAATTATATACCACTTCAGCATCTTTTGCCATCTGAGGACATATTGTGTATTCTGCTAGTGAAGCTGAGTTTGATGGGGATATTTCTTGCAGATTTTCTGGATGTATAGAAAGTCGATCTGAAGAAGATAAGGCATTCTGAGAAATTGAAGCACCTGGTGGATCCAAAATACTGAGAAGCTTATCAAAATTTAAGGATTCAACAGAACCCTCCAAAACAGATGAATTTAAAATTTCTGGACCATAACTCGCATAGGTGGTATTTCCCAAAAACGTCCAGTTTCTCCAATCAATGGATGAGGTATCATCCTGCATGAATGAATTTTACACCTAACTCAACAAATATGATATTCCATAATTCAAAACCCAGAGACCAAGGAAATATATATTATCAGCCTTTTATCATAAGCAATAGAAAATCAGAGGCACAAGTATCATACCTGAATATTCTCAAATACATGAATAGGGCCACAGGTAACCCTTTCATCCTCACTCTTAGCTGTGCACGAATTACTTCCTGATTCATCCAGGTCGTGAACTTTCTTCCCCACCTTCCTTGATGAAAAAAATGGATGTATTTGCCGTCCTGCAAACATCCTCGAATTTTCCTGATTGTAAAACAGAGATTGAAAAACAAAAAAATTGTCAAAGATTGCCAGGTCACAGTTAAGTAGCAAGGAGTGTATGAAACCGAAGCTACAATCTTAGCGAAAGTTTCAACCCACGTCTTCACTGACTTACATTTACAGCATGCACAAGTTTTACCGAATGTTTCTATTTCACACAATTCAAAGCATAAAATTTCTCAAGAACCATAGTCCTGAAGAAAGCTATGCATTCAGCGAACTCCAGCAATGCAAAACCGAATGCACTAACCTCAGCTGACAATTTAGCCTCTAACCGCAAATCAGGCACCGTTGTATAAACCTGAGCAGAATTAGCCAACACTTGCCGTGAAGTTGACCCCTTAATCCCATTAGCTGGTACATTTTTCTTTGCCGTGGCATTCTGCTTGTTGAGGAAAACAACAGGATCAAATGAAATGTAATAAGAATTTGAAGTCCCAACATTCCCATTTTCTATGTAGTGTCAATTCAGCAAAAATGCTTGAACTTTACTACGGTATCAAACCGAATAGTAAACTATTCTAATCCTCCATGACACATGCATCATGCTGATCTAGAAATAAAATTAAAATTTAAAGATAAATGATCACCTACATTGGAACTTTTTTTTCGAGGAGTGACTTTTCCCTTGGGCTTCCTCTTCTTATGATTGACAGTGTCGCAGTAATCCTCGTCTTGTTCATCCTCTTCGTTGTCCTTTTCATTAGGTTCTGGTGGCTTGTGAGGGAAGAGCGTCGATTGGACTAACCTCCGGCGGATACTGCGACGCGGTGGTGTGCCGGCATTGCAGGAGGGAGTGACGGGGCCTTCCATTATAGTAGAATTGAATTTGCTCGATTGGATTTGGCCGATCGATCAATTAGGGTTATTTGGGGGTAACGGTGGAGGAAGAGGAATGGAAGAGTGAATTTGGGACTACAACTTTAGGGTCAGAAAATTTTGGAGGGAATGCGGCCTATTTCCCGCCATGGGATAATATAGTATCTTTTTAAGGGGGCGTGGGATAGTTTGAACAAATATTGATTAATGTATATATCAGTAATCGTTGATTAATGTAATATTTTTTAATTTTATTATGCATGGCTAATGATATCTTATCCATTTATTTTTCTTCAGCTTTCATGTGAATGTGCAATTAGTACCAGAACTTGAAAATTTGGGTTGTTTATATTAATAAAGATAAATATTTGTTTTATATTATATTATATTTATTTTGTGAAATGTAAAGGTTTAAAAATTTTGCTTAGAAATTTAAAAGATTTGATTATAAATAAAATGGGACTTTAGATCCATTTTGTTAAGATAAGGAGATAACAAGTGATGACACCTATGTTACTTATGTTTGGGGTGGCAATTTAAAAGTTTTATTTATGTACCATATAAATGAATACATTCACCCTAATATTACACGAATAGATATTTTTATCAAAACCTTTGATATGAACGTAGTTAATTTATTAGGTAGGTTTGCACGATATGAATAATTTTGACACAACATTATCGATCTGTTTATAATAAAAATTACATGAACACTATTAAAATTAATAAATAAACGAGGCTAGATGTATAATCGTGTAGTTTCAGATTTGGAAGTTGAAATATAAAAAATAATGTTTTTTTATCAGTTTTTATCAACGAGAATATGACAAAATAAATATCAATTGAAAATTCATATCGTATTAACATGTTGGGTCACAAAATGTAGTATATAAAGACGCTTTGGAGAACTAAATGTAGGTTAGATATTTTAATTTCATAATTGTTCTTACTTTGATTTTCCCCCCTCGTAAGGTAAGGTATATCACATGACTTGTTGAAACAATGTAGGTTAGAACTAAACATATTTACCCAACTAAGGTAAGCACATAACTTGTTGAAACAATGTTGAATTGTGCTTTTGTATTCTTTTGTGTCATTTTATTGATAATCTCAATCTACTTAAACTCTTGAATTTTACCTTCTTCTCACGTTGATTCAAGTCTCCTAAAAAATTTATCGATTTATGTGAACAAATATATGAAATTGGAATATTAAACCTGGTAGTTTGCAAAACCAATTCAATTTGATTTAGTCAATTATAGTTAGTTTAATTATTATTTCATGTGTTAAATATGTCACTCGCTAAACATAATATTTTAGGTTGTACTAATTCATTATAGGGGTTTGATTTTCTCATGTTAAATGAGAATTCAATTCTCATGTTGTAGAGATAAAAAACATGTGGGACGCAAGTGTTAGAAACAATTATATGTAGGATCTATGTCAGCACGAAAATCGAAGGATGTGTAGAAAAATGTGAAATCTCATGTTAAATGAGAATTATAAAACCCTTCATTATATGGTACAAATAGTCACACAAGGTGTTCACGTAAAATTTCATAATATTTGTTTTAATTTATATTTTGGGCCTTTATGTGGCTCATTTCCCATATTCACTATATTCACATCATATAATAATTTTCACCCTATGCCTAAAATTCATCTTTCACCGACTAAAAGATGTTTCTCTCTAAAATTGACAACATACACGCACCTTCACAAATTATTTGATGCCCTTATCTTAGAAGTGAAATTCCTAACAATTTGAGAAAATATAAGATAAAAAAAATTGATGATTTTTTTACTTTCTTTCTGCTCTAACAATATATATATATGTATATCATTTCTGGAAAATATTACTCTCACATGACATAAGAGAATTTTCTCTCGTGCACTTCCAATTCTCTCATGTCACGTCAAAGTAATATTTCTCATCATTTATATAGAACAACTAGCTCACCCAACGAGCTACTAAGTACTAACCACATTAGAGACTTATCTAATTGTTAACCATCTAACCTCTTATTAACTACTACAATGGACTATACTAACTAATTATTATACACTGATATTGGCTATCCATTGTCTTCTTATAATTTGCACATAACATCGCCCACTCTTCAAAAGAGACATTGTCCTTAAGGTCCATGAAATAGTGAAAACATGTGATCATCCATAGCCACAAGATAAAGGTAGATGACCATTTACGCTAGAGTCCTGTTTCTGATGAAAAAGAACAAAGTGCAGGCTTCGATGCATGTTTCACTTGTTATAAGAGGATATTGCATCTATTTTTATTGGGTACCTTGAGATGGGAGCTACTTAAAGCCTTTGCCTTATCCAGAATCTATTATTCTTCGAAACAGATAAATGATTCCTTGTATAGACTCAATATTCCTTTTACATTTTTGTCAAATCTTGCCTTGAAATTAATATTGTGGTCCTTGAACACTCAAATATATTCGTTGTATCATGGTGACCATCAATGGTTGACTGGAGATATTTAACACTTTGAGGAACTTAAACTAGAAGCTTGAGCGACCTCATTTGCATGTGTTGGACTCTACCTGAGCAACAAGGAATAGAGAACCAAAGAGAACCCAAAAGATGCAAGAAATGGGTGAAATCTCTGAGCAACAGAGAGGCACGAATTTTATTAGATGGTAGCCAAATGTTTACAACAACAATCAATAAATTCTGCTAAATGCCTTATGTCCCCTTTTATACAGTACATCTTTCCCAACCCTTTACACGTGTGTTTATTCTAACTTCCCTTTTCTATTACTTACACCTGTCCCTAAATATCAAAGGACATACACGTGTCTTCAACACAGAAAGTCTTTAAGTCTTGATGAAGGAATCCTTTCTCTACTTATCTTCCTTGGCTCACCGCTTCTGATGTTTGGCTCACTGCTTCTGATGCCCTTGTGTGTATCATATGCCCCCTCTTCAACAATAACCTTGTCCTCAAGGTTGATCTCTGGATAAGCCAATCTCAAAAAATGTTCTTGTTCCCAAGTTGCATCATCAGGTGGGGACTGGGACCATTGAATGAGGAACTCTCGCTGCGGTGGACCGTGAGCTGCTGTCATCCGTGAAGAAATAATTGCTATCGGTACTTGAAGTGGTCTGTTATCAACAGATAACGTGGGAATATAAATTGGTTTATGAGAACCAGTACCAAACCAAGGTTTAAGCAAGGATACATGAAACGTGGAATGTATCTTGCATCCTTCAGGGAGCTCGAGCTGATATGCCACTGAACTAATGACTCTGATGATTCGGAAGGGACCAAATAAACATTTACTTAACTTATGATTACAACGCTTTTCCACAGAAACCTGGTGATATGGTTGGAGCTTCACCCACACAAAATCTCCAACTCCAAATACCTTGTCCTTTCTATGTTTGTCGGCTTGGCTCTTCATCCTGTTTCGAGCTCTAGCCAAAGAGATCTTCAATCCTTTCAGTAAGTCATTTCTCTCCTGCAACAACGAGTCAACTGCTTCCACCTTTACCAGCCTTCGTGGATAATAAGGCAACATCACTGGTTTCTTGCCATAAAGAGCTTCAAATGGTGACATGCCAATGGCCGAATGAACTGCAGTATTGTAATAAAATTGTGCCCAACAAAGGAACTGGGACCATGTGTGTGGTTTCTCATGACAAAAAATCCTGAGATACTGTTCAACATATCGATTGGTGACCTCAGTTTGTCCATCCGTTTGAGGATGGTAGGCTGTACTAGCCTTCAATGTGGTGCCACTCTGCTTGAATAAGCTGGTCCAGAATTGGCTCAAAAAAATCTTATCACGGTCTGATATCAATGACAGAGGGAAACCATGATTTCTAACAATCATGTCACAGAAAAAATGTGCCACTTTGGCAGTTGTGAATGAGGTAGGTAATGCTCCAAAATAAGCAAACTTACTCAATCTATCAACAGTAACCAAGATTGAGGTATACCCGTGAGACAAAGGGAGTCCCATTATGAAATCTAGTGTGGGGTCTTCAAATACTCCTTCGGGTGTTGGAAGAGGCTGGAGCAATCCATGTGGAACTGAAGTTGGGGATTTGAACTGTTGACACAATTGACAATTGCGGACATGTGTTTTTATATCCTTGCGCATGGTTTCCCAGTAAAAAGAAGAAGAAACTCGTAATAAAGTTCGGAGAACTCCAGCATGACCTCCCAATACTGAATCATGAGCTTCATGTAATATTTCTGGTATAAGCTTGGAGTTGGGGCTTAACAGAAACCTTTGTTGATGAAATAATATGCCTTCTTTCACCAAATTTTTTGGGACTGAACCAGGATCACTTGCTACTTTCTGGTGTAAAGAGCTCAGATAGACATCCTTGCAATTTTCTTCCTTTAGTCGAGCCAATAAGTCAAAGGTTGGTTCACCTATTAAAGCATGGACCGCAACTGTTGTTTCCTCCTCAAAGCATCTAGATAGGCCATCTGCAACCACATTTAAAGGACCAGGTTTATATTCAATAGTAAATGAATAACCTAGTAACTTACACAAATATTTTTGCTGCTCCATGGTTTGAATGGTTTGTCCCAACAATTCCTTGATACTTCTATGATATGTCCGAATAGTAAAATGAGCTCCAAGTAAGTATTGTCGCCACCTCTTCACTGCTTCACAGATTGCATATAATTCTCTCACATATGTAGATGCCACAACAAGTCTTGGACCCAAGCGTTTGTTGAAGAAAGATACTGGCCGATTGTTTTGTAACAAAACTGCCCCAATGCCTGAATTAGAGGCATCTGTTTCTATGACAAAAGGAAGACCGAAATCTGGTAACACCAAAACAGGGGTGCTTGCCATTGCCAGCTTCAACAATTCAAAAGCTTGCTGAGCTGTGTTGTTCCAATTAAAAGCTGCTTGCCTCAACAGATCAGTTAAATGAGAGGCTTTAGTTGCATAATCCTTGACAAAACGTCTGTAATAACCTGTTAGACCGAGGAATCCCCTTAATTGTTTGATGGACTTAGGGGGTGGCCAAGATAACATTGCTTCTATCTTTTTAGCATCTGCATGGACACCTTTGTGGGATACCTTATGGTCAAGGTAGTCAATCTCACCCACACCAAAAGCACATTTAGACAATTTCACAAAAAATTGATGCTGTCTCAAAGTGTGCAATGTAAGCTGCATGTGCTGGGTATGCTCCTGTAAAGAAGAACTATAGACAAGTATATCATAAAAAAAAAACAATTATGAACCTACGTAAAAAGGGACGAAACAAATTGTTCATCACTGCTTGAAATGTGCTTGGAGCATTTGTCAAACCAAAAGGCATGACCAAATATTCATAGTGGCCCTCATGGGTGCGAAAGGTTGTTTTCGATATGTCTTGAGGTAGCATTCTGATTTGGTGAAGCTCTCAAATCCAGCTTCGAAAATATGGTGGAGCCTCCCAATTCATCTATTAGTTCATCAATAGTAGGCATAGGAAATCTGTCACGAATAGTAAGGGCATTAAGAGCCCTATAATCGATGCACATCCGCCAAGAATTACCCTGTTTCTTAACCAATAAGACTGGAGAAGAATAAGGACTAGTGTTGTCTCTGATAAATCCTGAAGCCAGTAACTCAGTTACTTGTTTTTCTATCTCCTCTTTTTGATGATATCCATACCTATATGGTCGGACATTGACTGGTTTGGATCCTGATTCTAAATTGATGGCATGATCCAGAAAACGAAATGGTGGCAGGGATCGTGGGATGGAAAATACATCCTGATATTCCACCAAAAGTTGCCACAATTCTGGAGAAAGGGATGACTGAAGCTTCACCAGTTCAATATCCACAGCAGCTCCACTTTGATGAAGGGATTCACAAGCTAAGGAGAAGCAGCCCCCTATTGTTGACTTACCATGGATGGTTGCAGGAGACTCACCCTTCAACTGCACTAACTTCCCTTGCCAATCAAACTCCATAGTTAACTGGTTGTAGTCATGTGTCACTTTCCCCAAAGACTCCAGCCATGACATTCCCAAAATAATACCCAAAGACTCAAGATCCAGTACCCATAGATCCATATCAAAGGTATGGCCCTGCACCATTAACTTCACCTTTGGACATTTACTGTCACAGACCAAGAATTCTCCATTCCCAAGGAAAACTCTCATTTTCTTGATGCGTACCATAGGCAGCTACAAAACTGAAACTAACTTTCTTTGTATAAAACTATGCGTGCTACCAGTGTCCACTAGCATAGTCACTGGTTGTCCTTGAATGTTGGTGACAAAATTCAATGCTTTGGAATTGTGTGCTTCGGATAATGAATGCAATGCTGCATCCTCAGTGGTTGCTCCAAGCCCCTTAAAATTCCAGATAATTTCCTCTTTTTCTTCTTCAACTTCTTGCTTTTCTCCCACCAGTAATAAGAATTTCCCTTGACATCTATGTTTATTACTCCATTTCTCATCACAACTAAAACAGAGACCCAGTTCACGTCTCTTAGTCCATTCCTCTCGAGACAATCTCTTAATTGGGACCTGGGTGGATGATGTTTGAGAGGATGTATTCCGAGCTGTGGAAGATTGGGATACCATGGGTTTGTTAGGCAACGTACTGCCTGCTGAAGAAGAACTATGTGAGGTTGGATTTGTAACACCTTCATGTGTGCGAAATGGATGTCGCTTCGGATTGTTGGCCGCCCCATTATTCAAGGAAACACGCAATTCTGTATGATGAGCATTATAAACAGAAGCAAAATGTATTGCTCGTTGAAGGTTTGCGGGTTCATGAAGTTCAACTGCTCTTCGTAAATCAGGAACTAAGCCCGATATAAAGAAACTCATCAACAAACCATCATCCACATTAGCAGTTTGATTCATCAGCTTCTCAAATTCAAACAAATAATCGTGAAGCGTTCCAGTTTGAGTTACCTTATAAAGCATACCCATAATATTCTGATGGGGTTTTACTCCAAAACGCTGCTTCAACGCATGTGTGAAGTCTGCCCAAGAACGAATTGTTCCCCCTTTATAAGACCACTGGAACCAAGCTGAAGTAGGATCGTCCATCCTCAAACCGACTAGCTGAACCTGTAATTCCGGTGGAACTCGCTGCAACTCGAAGAAGATTTCCGTCTTGAAAATCCAATTGTCTGGATTTGTGCCATCAAACAAGGGAATCTCCATCTTCACAAATTTCAGCAACAACCGTGGATCTACAACCTCCTTGTGACCCATTCCGTTGTGAGAATTGGCCAATCCGTGATGATTCTCTGTAGCATGGTGTGACTCTTGTTGAATCTCAGGTGAACTTTTCGACTGAGAATGAAGAATACCCATGGATTCGTTCAATTGCTGCATCTGCGCCACAATGAGCGAAAGTTGATTTTGTGATTCATCGAAACGCTGTTGCAAGAAAGCAACTGTATCTGCTAATTCCTGAACCCGCATCGTGAGGAGAGAACACGCGTGAAAGCACCAATGTTGGACTCTACCTGAGCAACAAGGAATAGAGAGCCAAAGAGAACCCAAAAGATGCAAGAAATGGGTGAAATCTCTGAGCAACAGAGAGGTACGAATTTTATTAGATGGTAGCCAAATGTTTACAACAACAATCAATAAATTCTGCTAAATGCCTTATGTCCCCTTTTTATACGGTACATCTTTCCCAACCCTTTACACGTGTGTTTATTCTAACTTCCCTTTTCTATTACTTACACCTGTCCCTAAACATCAAAGACCATACACGTGTCTTCAACACAGAAAGTCTTTAAGTCTTGATGAAGGAATCCTTTCTCTACTTATCTTCCTTCGCTTCTGATGTTTGGCTCACTGCTTCTGATGCCCTTGTGTGTATCAGCATGCTCTGGTGACTGACACAAGGAGGCAGTGGTTGCAAGAAATAATGGCTTTGCACCATGTAATGGTTCTTGAAGCATGGCAGAGGAGGCAACAATGGATTATCAATTCTGATTATCCACTCCTGAATTGCTCTGCACCAGCCTCTGCTCCATTCGTGCAAAGAGCAACGAAAAATGGTTGTTTAGTGGTGTCAAAATTCTACTTTATTTTTGCTCTAAAGGAAGCAAGATTATCAACCAACTCCTACAATTCCATGGTGGAGATGAATACGGTGTTCGAAATTAAATTAGGAGAGGAATTTATAACAAAGAGAGAAAATACAAAATAAAAGAGAACTAACGAGTTTTTTATATTCTTCTTGCCTTGATAATAGATGGATATTATTTATCTACAAGAACTGACTCACCCAACAAGCTACTAACCATGTTAGAGACTTGACTAACTCTTAACTGTTAGGTCTCACACCTTATTTAGTTTTGATAATAATAAACAAGTGAAACAAAATTATCTAACAATTTATTAAATTAAAAGTTGTTACAGAATTTATTTTGTGATTAATTATAGAGAAGTGAACGCAATATAATTGTAATTGTGTACAAACCTGAACAGTTGAACAAGAAGATGACAACGATGTTCATAAAAAATTAATATAAGACAATATGAAAATGTAGATCAGCTTCTTGTACCCAAAAAGTAAAAAATGAAAATGTAGATCACCTTCCATCACAGGACTCCCCACAACCAACCACAAGCCTTGCCATTCACTATATAGTAAAGTATCGTATTGGTAATATGAAGGCAGCAAGAAAACTATAAATTCCTTACCCAAATGACTGAAAAAGCAGACTATACGGACCAATGCGGGGCACCCCAAATCAGAAAAGCAAACTGTTCAATTACCGAAATATCCCCCAGGACAAGCCATGGCCGTGCAAAGGACAACAATATTAGAAATGAAAATGATTCATCTACAGAGAATATAACTCTAAAATTAAACGAAAACATTTCAAAATTTGAATATGATATTCGAGGAAGTTGTCTACTTCACAATTTATTGTTCTGCCACAAAACCGAAAATATAATCAGTAAATGACATATACATCTATTTATTTTCTTTTTTTGTTAAAATAAAATAACTCGGTGTATGATTACAATATGAATGATTTGGACATAGGGACAAACCAGTCCAGCGAAACAACTAATGTTCAAATCTCAATGATCGAAGTCTGAACAGTTGTGTGACCAGTGAGTGACCTTGTGGCTCTACTCGTGATATGCAGCACACCTGTCTGCTACTCTAAACTCCTTTTCTCTTTCAAAGTGGAACCTTTACCCTTTACCCTCCCCAACATTCTTCTCTCTCTCTCTCTCTCTCTCTCCCTCGCTCCTTGTTCTGAGAGGGAAGACGCAAACAACCCAGAAACCCTAAACCCCTCAAACCCCTTTTGTTGTCTCCTCCTTGTTACTCCAAATTCCCCCTCTCTTAATCCAAAAAACATTACTTGTTGCAGACTTCAACATCCTAGAATTAAGTAGACCACATTGTACCTTGTTTGTTAAGCTCTCTTTTGAAACCCTTCACTTTCCCTTTTTGACCCATCATTGCGTGTGAGCGCAAAGTAGCTTCATCCATTGGATTCTACCTGGTAAAAGCCATTTACCAGAAGCCCATAATGTTGTTGAAGAGCACTTTCCTCCTCTTGTTACTTTTGCAGGCTTTGACAAATGGAAGCTGTAAATCCACCATAGAACCATGCACAAACTCAGATTCTTGCAATGCTCTACTTGGTTACACGCTTTACACAGACCTCCAAGTCTCAGAGGTGGCTTCACTCTTCCAAATCGACCCTATAGCTCTTCTCACCGCAAATGCCATTGACATCTCATACCCTGACGTGGAACACCATATCCTCCCTTCAAAACTGTTCCTTAAAATCCCAATCTCATGTTCTTGCGTTGATGGGATTCGCAAATCGGTTTCCACCCATTATAAAACGCGTCCTTCTGATACTCTATCGTCCATTGCGGATTCAGTATATGGGGGTTTGGTCTCTGCTGACCAGCTTAGTGAGGCTAATTCCATAGCTGACCCTTCAGTGTTGGAAGTTGGCCAGAGCCTTGAAGTTCCTCTTCCTTGCACTTGCTTCAATGGTTCTGATAACTCTTTGCCTGCAATTTACCTATCCTATGTTGTTCAACCGGTTGATACTTTGGCTGCAATTGCCGCCAGGTATTTCACTACTCTTACTGATTTGATGAATGTGAATGCCATGGGAAGCACAGCTATCAGTGATGGTGATATCCTTTCTATTCCAATACCCGGTAATTTCCTCTTTAGTCTTACGCTTTTAAAATGATGCTAACTTTTTACTTTTTATTTTTCTTATGGTGTTTTTAGTTCTCACCTATTATGTGCTGTTCAATCTCTAAACCTGTTTCTCATGTTGCAGCTTGTGCTTCAAAGTTTCCAAAATTTGCCTCTGATTCTGGGTTGCTTGTCCCTAATGGAAGTTATGCCATTACAGCAGGCCACTGTGTGCAGTGTAGCTGTGGACCACGAGACCTGAAGTACTAACTAAGCAACTTTTTATTTTTCTGTCTCCAATCTATTCCTTCACCCTTTATAAATAAACCTAGATTCTCTTTTAGGTTCAGTATGGTATGAGGAAAGGTGCACAATTGATTAGTTTTCATTATATCTTTTTTTTTTCCTAATAAAACTGATCCATGAATTTTTCACCCCATGCCTAACTGACCCTTGTAGAGTTTGAGAAGGCTGTGTTACTAACCTGTGTATTTGGGTTTCTCACTTTCTCCACAGTTTGTACTGTATGCCAGCTTCTCTGGCTGTTTCTTGCTCCAGTATGCAATGTAAAAATAGCAATCTTATGCTCGGGAATGTTACCGTGCAACAGAGTAGTGCGGGTTGCAATGTTACATCTTGCAGTTATGATGGTATTGTTAATGGCACCATAATAACAATGTATGTTTATCCTCTCCGTGCCTGCTTTTCTCATTGAGATATTTCATAATATCTGTTTTACTGGACTTGTCTTTGGATTTAAGCTTATTCATTCTTTCTTGTCTTCCTGCAGGTTGTCCCCATCTCTTCAGCCTCGATGTCCAGGTCAGAGTGCTGCAACCACAAACACATGCACACACACACACAGACACACATGAATGGGGAGTGACCCTAAATGCATTGTAGAATGGCATTATTCGCTTTCTAATAATTGTTTCAATTATAAAGATTTTAAATGATTTATTTTTTTGTTTTGATTTTCATTTTGGATGATTTATTGCTGAGATGTCAGCTGACTCAGTTCATATTAGGTGGCCATATTCAGCACTACTTTTTCTCCTATTCAGCTACTTGAACATGCCTCTAGAATAGATGATAGTTTGAATGTCTGAAATGTCAATATTTTAGAGCTAACAACAGTGAACTATCTTCAGTCTTCTTGATTATTCTATCTGCTATCTGATGACAGCAACTGCATGTGAACTCAAAAGTCTAGACTCTAGCCTCTAATTGCGCAAACTAGAGTTAGGTTTGGTATGCCTAGCATTATAATCCAGATTAAATTGATGCCCGGAAGTATAGCAATCTGTATTTAGTTCTAGATGCAATTCCTAATTTAATCTGCTCCCCTCTTACCAACTCCCTGAAAAAATAAAATAAAATTGACAACACTAAGTAAGTTGTAATTTCTGAGATGTCTTATAAATATATTTTAAATGATGCTGCAGGGCCACAGGAATTCCCTCCTCTGATTGCCCCACCTACATCTGTTAGGAGGGAGTCAGAATTTGCACCAGCGCCATCTCCGCAGTCAGATGGAGCTGGTCTTGTAACACCCAAGCCATCACTGGTGCCTGCATCAGGTCTTCCAGGATTCTCTCCTGCAAATGGTCCTATTAGTGGGATTTCTTCTGGTGCTTCTGCTGCATGCTCCTTGGTGAATCCATTACCCACTTTGATGTCTGCACTTGTGTTATTACTTGTCAAGTTGATGATCCCTGTGGCATTGTAATCTTCTCAATTTTGTGGTGGGTTTAGTTCTGTCTTGTTACTTTGTTTGTCAGAGGTGCTCCTATGTATTGTAGTTTCTGATATTCATTTGTACTCTCGAACAAATTTGTGAATTTGGAAAACTCTGGGATTTCGGGTTTCATCATGATCTTGGCCTTTTTTTTAATTTGGTGTTTTACCGTGCTATCTTGTAGTAATTCTAGGTATAAATCAATCATTATAGAAGCTCTAAGAAGTTGATAATGGCATCTTTGGGTACACTTGTAATTGTAATCATGTATGTGTCTCAACATTGTTTTACTACTTTCTCTTGTTTCTAATGCTAGTTGGAAGTTAATTGGGTTTCTTGGTTCTGCCAAATCTTAAATACCTTCGATTGTGTTATAGCAATTTTCTGTAGCACGGTCCAGTTTAAGGGTGTAATAATGCAAATGTTGGTGCAAAATGTTATCCTTCACGTCTAATATGTGGCAGTGGTGATATTTTGTTGTTGTTGAGTTCTCTTCCTTTTTGGTATCCTGTGACGACAATAATAGAAAAATGGAAGGGGTTGAAACGTGTAGAAATTTCTCTTTATGAATTTGGTAGATTGAAGAAAGGTTGTAACAAGTTCTATTTTCTTCTGTTTTTAATATAACCTCTTCATCTTCACGTGAATCAGCCAATTCTAATGTTGTTTGTAGTTTTTTCTATTCCCAACCGTTGAAATATTCACTTGCGATTTGATTCCCTTATTTCCATAATCGGTAAATATCTCTATTATGGAACACGAGATGAAGTCCAATTATAGAGCGCATGGCTGTTGCATGAAATAAGACCATAGCATTACCCAGAAATTGTTACGTGGGCATATTTGGTAAAACATATTTATTTTGTTCATGGAGTCATAGCTGAGCTTCCAATTTGAATGGTTGTATTAGAATTCAACACTTGTATGGTAAAACCAAATCATGGTATGAGATTATATATTTTGATGCCCGTGTCATACTTACCTATACTCTTGTCAGGCAACACTAATTGAGTTGCGTGTCTCAATTTTTTCATTCGTACCTAAATCCATCTCTTGACTCTTGAAGATCACTTTGAGACCTATATACATATGAATGCTTAGTACAAAAGGCATGATACTTATTATTATTATTATTAACTCTCTGGATGAAATTTGATGGACTACACAGGATTAATTAAGCTATCTGCCAAACAGTCATTAGGGACCTTGTGATATCTTAAGCTTGTTTTGTGAAGGGATGAATTTATTATTTGGCTAATTAGATTGATAATATACCTTTTAATTAACTTGGCTTTAACCTTTATAAAAAAGTAATATATAACAATAACAACAACAATATATCATCTTAAAAATACAAAATAACAAAACATTAATAAAATAATCCTTTTCATAATGTAACATTTAATTTTACTATATACAAATTTTATTATGCTAAATAATACAAGATTTAATGAAGATACTACTACTTGTACAATATCACATGTAGGGATGTAAATGAGTCAGTTAGACCAGACTTTGACGTTGATAGTCTGAGCCTATGTAAAACATTTAAAGCTCATACTGACCTATTAGTCTATTAAATACTTGATTTATAAGTCTGACCTGAGTTATTATAAAAAAACTAAAAAGTCTAATACGGCTTGTAAGGCCTACCAAGTTACAAACTAAAGTTTACAGATCCAAACCAAACTGAAATATAAAAGATAAAATTACTTATTCACAAAGACCACATGAAATAATATTTTCATTAACAACATATAAAGATCACATGAAAATGTTCATAGAGATCACATGAAAATTTCATATATGTACATATGTAGAATTTGCACTTTTTTTATTAATTTAATTTAATATATATTATATTTTAAATTTTAAATAAATATATAATATTTGTTAAAATAACATCAATTCTATTATTTTGAAAATTAGTGTTATAAATCATGATATCAGACATATCTTCAAGTGAACAATATATATCATAAATATATTATATTATTAAAAAAATTAAAAAGCTAGCCTGCAAAATTTTAAACTAGATTTTTTAAGGTGAGCTTATGTCTTAATTTTTAAATAAATTTTTCAAAAAATCGAAACCTGCTCTATTTCTTTACATTTCTAATTGATCGTATGATTCATTTACATTTCTAATTACATGTGGGCAGTGGCAATAATATATTTATTATTATTATTATTATTATTATTATTATATAAAAAACTTATGCCTCCCATTCCCAAAAATGTTGAATAAGGTCTTTGTAAAGTAAGAAAATTATTCTTAAATTAAAATAAATTAAATTTATGATGCAATCTAATTAAAATTAAGGCCACTCTCACCTGTGTAATTTACATAATTGAACCCATGTGATATTAAGATTATGTTGTTCACTGTGTGTTGGTCATAAAGAAGTTTGAACTTTGAAGTGAAAGCCTTCTCTTCAAGGGACACCACACCATGCCTTCTGCACTTTCAAAACTCTATGCTGCCACTCTCCATCGCTCAATATTCAATCTGTGCTGCCACACTATTGACATCGTAATCCTTGTTTCATTTTAGATGATGTTAGCCTTCTCGTCACGACACTAGACACCAATCCTTTCTTTTGGAGCACTTTTTCATTTTCCTTTTCCGATTTTCTCTCTCAAGTAATACATATACTAATATGCTCTCTTCAACTAAACTAAACGCTATTCCTAAACCCTCCGCTCCCAATCTCAAAACCTCTCTTATTTCATTTTTTGCAAGTACTTGCTTTTCTCAATTCAATCTTGCTCGTTAGTCAAATTAACAAGCCGTTGTTATAGCCACCGGCTGCAATTCATGTTGCTACGTATACGATTCCACTACCAACAAAAACCATGATTCCACAACCATTTACCAATGTTGGTGCAAAATGTTATCATTCCCGTCTAATATTTGAGAGTGGTGTTTTTTTGTTGTTGTTGAGCTTTTTGGGTATCATGTGAAGCCAATAATAGAAAATGGAAGAGGCTGAAACTTGTAGGAATTTCTCTTATGAATATGGTAGATTGAGTTGGTTGAAGGAAGAAAGGTTGTAACTATTAGCATATATTTTATATTTTGTAATTTTTATTTTCTATTGCAACCACTTGTAGAATGTGCTGATGTGAATTTCTATTATATTGGACTGATGGTGCTAATATGCATGCACCATTCTGTTACGTCTCTCTTAGCTTTTATTTTATTTGCAACTTGTATTCGTCATTCAGAGCATATAATGGAATATACAGATTTTTCATTCCTTCGGTTCTTCTTCTATCAGTTATCAATAACTAATATTAGAGATATAAATATTTATTTATTTTTTATTTGAGATATTCTAGATCTTTCTCTTTTCTAGTTATGCTCTTCTATACAAGAACCCCATATGTACAAATGAATTAACCTAATCAATGAAATCAATATTTTTCGTTTTATCTCTTTTACCTTCTAACACGGTATCACAACAAATTTTTTATCCTCCGTGAATGGAGGTTTCGCTGCCATCAATTTTTTTTTCTTCTCTATCGATATTCCTTTCCTTCATGTCTGTTTCACTCTTCCTATCATCAGTAAATTTCTCCTCTCTCTTTTTTCGGTCATCTTTTATGGCCACTTTCCTATCATCAGTAAATATCACTATCCGGCGACCTTTTTCGGTGCCCTGGTATTTTTATTTTATTTTAGGTGCGGGTTGTCTTCTTTGGTGATCTTCCCAGCATCCTTTTCTCTCCAATAGAATTTTGAATTTTCCAGATCTATTGGGTTTTAGTCCATATCTGTGTCCCTTTTTTTTTTTTTTTTCTAAATCGGGTTTCTCTCTTAAACAATGGTGGATCTTCAAACCGTTTGGTGCATGTATGGTGAAGTAGGATTCCTCTCACAAGCTTTTCCATTGCGACAAATGCCGCCATCATTTCCAGCACTATTATATATGTTTTCTATTACATTTTTTCTCCTTTTAGATTTGTTTCATTTTTATTATTTTTTGCATTTTTCGTTTTCCACCGTCTTTTCTTAGATCTGTTTCATTTGTTTTCTATGGCATTTTTCATCTACCAGCGTAGTGTCTTTGTCCACCGGCGTCGTTCGTCTTTGATATTGTTCGTCGATGTTCTCTCTCTAGGTGCGCCGCCACATCTCCATAGTCGCTGAACTTGTGCGTCGCCGATCTCTTTTGTGCCATCCAACCTTCATGCGCTGCTGTTTGTGACCCTCCCAGATCTCGTACAACTATCAGACCAGTGCCCCTTGCATTTGTGTTATTGTTCGCACCACCCAATTAATTATTTGTGGTGTTTGCCATTTGTGTCTGCTGCCTCTGCCTCTCACTAGTGCCTTCTATGTACCAAGTGTTTGACCAAAGTCTCCATTGAAGTTATTTGGATGAGTGGTTCTATTTTTTTATTTTGATTTTTTTTTCTTGGCCACTTTGATTTTATTTCCACATATGTTTGTGGGACAAATCTAACGTACTACTGTAGCACCGAGTGCTCAGTAATACTTCCATCCAAATTTTGACATTTGTATTATTTTTCCATGTCATCTTTCATACATGGCACTAATATTTAAAAAAAAAAATTATTTTCACAAAAGCATGTGCAATCCGCTACCGTTCCCTTCACACAGCAACTTCCATGACTCTCAATTTCAGCTTTTCGTTGCCACCTTCCTCCTTAGCAAAGCAAGTCCGATCTTGACAGGCTCGCCGGAAAATCCATCTTTGCCAGCAGGCTCTGCTTGAAAATCTCGATCTACGCTGGTAATTTTTATCCCTAATTTTTATTTTACTTTTATCCCAAAATCTCCATCTTGTTTAGATCTCTCTCACCATTCGATTTAAAAAACATAGCTGTAAATCTAATATGTTCTCTCCCTTCTAAAATTCTCTATTTGTCTACGCATATTTTTTTTTTTTGAAAAAAAATTCTAATTTACTTTCTCATTATTTTGATTTTGATTTTTTTTATTTTCAGTATTGCCCACTGATTTTCCTTTGCTGGAATAAGGCTTTAGAGGGTAGGTTAGATACTGCTTGCATATGGGGTATGTTTTCTGAATCCAACCGTAACTAAAGAAATTAAACTCATTTTTTAAATTTTTCTTGCAGTTGTTTCGTTCATCCCTTGATGGGTATCAATAATTTTGTTCATATTCACCAGTAGTGATAACCATGTAGTGGCTGTGTTAGTGTATAACACAGATGATTGTTCATTTTGCGTTGAAATTTGGAAATAATATGTATTTTTTTTGTGAATTGTTTTGATTTATATGGTTGTCTGGAAATTTTTAAAAAAGGAATCAAGATGGACTATAATATAGCTCAGCTATATGATAAAATAGTTGGCCAATTGGTTGACTTGTACTTTTTCCCCCTCTTAATGTTGAAACCGTAAATAGAATCAAAATCATGAAGCTGCATATGGGGAGTTGTTTATGTGTTTATGGGATGGGTTTTACACTTATATCCTAATTTGAATTTCACTATTCGATATAATTTGGCAAGCCAGCTATTTGTATCATAGGATGAATTAGTGATGGCTTTGAATTGTGAGATATGTACATGAATCGGTGTGATTCTGTTTTACTGGTAGTCTGATACAAATTGCATGATTCTATGATTTAATTTACTGTGATGGGTGTCAAATGTTTTCTTGACCATAACATGAAGATTTATTCTGGCTTATCATTTACTTGCACATTAAATTCTGGTTGCTGAATTTTATTAAACCAACTCTAATTTCAGAACAGAAGTAGCAAAAGTTTTCTGAAATCAAAGCTGGACTAGATGAAGCTGATGTTCTGTACAAAGTTGAAATGTTTGCTCATATCTCCAGACTTAAAGAGACATGGTTGAATCTTTACAAGAAGGAGTCACAGAGCAAAAGGATGCTTATGGAGACTGACAAGCTTGTTGAGGTTTCCAAGTCTCTTCAGATCAAATGGAAAGTTGTAGTCGACAGGAAATAGAATTTATGAATATGAGTTGCTAGTGCAAACGTTCCTAATGTATAATGAATTATGTGAAAAAAAATTCACTTGATAGTAGCTATTTGTCAAGCAGTTTTATCTTTATTCTTTTTAGTCTTTTTGGATTATCATGTCATTTGTACTTGTCCAGTTCAATATCAAGTCACAATTTGATTGAGTATCAATTCCAAACCTTATTTGCTATTTATTTTAATGCCCTAATTTATTTATTTCCTTCTTTTCCTTTTGAAATTACTTGAAACATGTGCTGTAAAAGTAAATTGGATGACATTGCACAAAATCAATCCAAAATCAGCTCCAAAATAAATATATATTTGTGTTAAATGTCTGCAGCATGAACTATTTACACCAAATACACAAGTTAACAAAAAAAAATATTTAAAAAAGCACCAGCACCATTAACAAAAAGGCACCACCAGCAACCAAAAAAAGCACCAGCACCAACACAGTCCTTTAAAAAAGCACCAGCAACCAAGAACAACACCAGCAACCAAGAACAGCACCAGCAACAAGACTGCACAGATTGTGGTTTTCTACAGTGGTCAAAATGGATCTGTTATAAATGAATGTGCAGGATCTTGCCAACAGAAATGGTAGTGGTCAAAATGATGAATCTGTCAATTTGCAGGGAGAAATTTATCTTCCAAAATCATGGCTTGTCTGACCCCATGTTACTTTCGAAAAATTGTTGTTTGACTCAATAAAGAAAAGTGAAAAATCAAATTTTAAGTAAGATTATATTTAGAAAATTACAATACAATAATACTACCTGTGTATATGGTACTTGAGAGATACTTGGAAAATAAAATGTTGGAAAAGTATTAGCATTTGCCACTTGAGAGATATATGGACAACCAAAAGCAGGGGGAGGTGTTGAAGATGAGCTAAAATTTGTGGCATTTGTACTTGTAGCTTTACCGATATAAAAAAAATTGAAATGGAAGATAAGCATATGATTGTATAAAATTAAAAAAAGTGAAAAATCCAAATTATATTATTCATTTTACCTTTTTCAGCAGGATCATGCCTTAGAGGTTTAGATGTAATAGCACCTTGTGATATGCTTCTAGCTTGTGATATATGTTTCTTACATCTTTTCTTCTCTAGTTGACTTTTCATTCTAGCATTTGTAACTCCTTTTGCTCGAACACGTGTCAGATCTAGTACCCCTTTTCTATTTAATTTACTATGCTCATCCTTCTGTTCATCACTAGTCATATCATTCGCTTCAGTAGGTTTGCTAGTGAAAGGGTCAACCGAGCTAGTATTTTTTAACATCCTCTCCAACATTTTTTCCCTTGCTCTAGGTGATCTTCAGCCATTTTGGTTGATTCATTTGTCAATGCACCCTTGGTTGCAAAATAAATGGCTTTCCTCATTATTTGGCTCATGCGTAGATTAATTCTTTGTGCTGAAACCTCACAAGCTTGGGGTGGAATGCTATCACTCACATTAAAACCATCTTTCGCATCTTTTGTCCACCTCTTCAAGATATATTGAGAAGGTATATGAAAAATATTGTGAAAGTTAAGTACCTTCAATGCATGAAGACATAAGAGACCAACCGATTGAAACTTCTTACAACTACATTCAACCAAGCAATTTGCAGATTCAAATGTCACAAAATATTGTTTTTCATCTCCAGATTTAACCAACTTGTAACCAAAGCAAGTACAATTTTTGTTGGTTTTTTCAATGGCCACAGATAAAGATTCACATAGTTCTTCAAAGAATTCTTCAAAAATAACATGAGTATAGACTTGTGCAGCTTGTTCGGCCATACCTGCAAGTTTTTTTACTTGAGGAGGTGTAGATTGATTGCATTCAAAGTCCTTTTGCAACTCTGACCAACGTCGACGCTCCAAAACTTTTTCATAACAGAGCACAAATTGAGAAAGAGACATTGTTTTACAAGTTACAGTACGAAAAATATTATTCATACTCTCACTTCTTTGTGTTGATAACATGCCAGTTGAAAAATAATTCTTACTAAATCCTGGACACCATTTTTCCCGTAACTCAGAATTTTTTCAACCATGAACATTTTGAAATGTCTACTTTCGTGAGTAAACGTGCCCACACTTCTTCAAACTCTTGCTCAGATTCACAATTGTAAAGACACCTATTAAATAGAACCTTAAAGTCAGGTTGTCTCAAATAATACGAAAGATGCTTAGCAGCATTTTGGCTAATATGCCACAAACAAAGTCGATGTTGAGCTTCAGGAAGAACTCTCTTAATAGCATTGGCCATTGCTTGACATTGATCAGTAAAAATTGTTTTAGGTTGCAGTCCACCCATTGCTTCCAAAAAAGATTCAAAAAGCCAAATGAATGACTCTGTTGTCTCATCTAACAAGAAAGCACAACCAAACAGAACACTTTGTTTATGATGACCCTAATGAAAGGTGCACAAGCCATATTATACTTGTTTGTTCGGTAGGTTGTGTAAAAAATGACCACATCTCCAAAGTGACTATAATCTGTCCTTGATATGCCATCTCTCCAAAAAATATTAGTCATGCGATTCTCACGATCAACTTGCATTGTGTAGAAAAAGGATGGATCATTTGCTTGTGATTTTTTGAAATGATTAATAACACTTTATGCATCTCCTGCTTCAAGAGTGTTGCTCCTTTTACTTTGTAAAAAATTATCACAATCATGTTTTAAAAATCCAACATGCTGGGCTCTTCCGGCAACTTCAACAAAATATGAATACATACCACATGGTTTTATGCCAGCATTATCCATATCTTCAATCATGTTAGCATGTGCTTCATCAACATGTCTTTGGGATCTTAGCATAGCTCGCGCGCATGATTTCACAAGATCATGATTATGATCAGGAATGAATTTATAAACAATCCAATTATCCCTCTCAATTTTAAAGCATATCATAGCTGGACAACCCGTTCTTGTTTCTTTCCTATTTACTTTCTTCACATATGAAGGATCCTTCAACCTTCTATATCCTTCTCTTCCACAAACAAATATTCTTTGGCTTATGGTCCCATCTGCTAATCTTCGATATTGTGCTTTTCTCACAGTAAAACCAGTCAATTTAGCATATTCATTATAGAACTTATAAGCTTCATCTTCAAATGAAAATATCATCCCAATTTTTGGCTCATATCCATTTTCTTCTCTTGTCACAATCAATGGCATCTTTGTTTGTTCATCATCATGTTCACTTTCTGAAGTACTCATTTCACTAGATAACGACTGCAACTCAAATAACCAAAAAAAAAAAATGAATATTAAAAAAAAGGATAGGGGAACAAGAACCATAAAGTCAAAAAAATCTCTAATTCTTTGGACGTTTAATAGCATTTTAGGAACCCTTTTAAAATTGGCAACAGGAGCCATAAAGCCAAAAAAAAAACTGTACTTGTTTGCATGTTTCAATAATAGTCAAATGTTTCTATAAGTTAATACTTTACGCACCTGAACTTCCATTTGGTTGAGAATTTGAGTTCCCTGTGTCAATCTTCAATGGGTGAGAATCAATAAAGAAAGAAGATGGAAGATTGCTTAAATGTCCCTTCAAGGTTAACCTCAATAAATGACATAAAGCCAAGTGTAACAGCACCTCACAATTCTTCGTAGTATCAGCAAGAATTCCTAGTGACTCCCCATTTGGAAGAACAGCCAACACCCACAGAGATTTTCTACGACATGCTCATTAGAATGGTTTCCCCCATACTAGCTAGTTTTAGCTGAAATTAGGATGAAGTTTCTTAGTGTTTTTATCCTCCAATTCTTGCCTTTATTTTCTCTGATTTCCAAAAAAACAAATAGATGCAAGAAATATGAAAGAAAATACAGAGGAACTTGAAATAAGAGAAAAAAGATAGAATACCAGGCGAAAAGAATGGCGGGAGTTACATGAAAAGAACCACTAAAATTTTGGTTGAAATAAAAAAAAATTAAAATATTAGTGCCATGTATGAAAGATGACATGGAAAAATAATACAAATGTCAAAATTTGGATGGAAGTATTACTGAGCACTCGGTGCTACAGTAGTACTTTAGATTTGTCCATGTTTGTGGTGTTATTCAAGTCTCATTTGGCTTGTATTTGATTTTTCCATTGTTTGGCTTTATTTTGGCCTCCAATTCAGGGGGAGTATTTTTCTCGGTTGTTGCCTGGTCCGCGGATTATCCTGGTTATGGCTCCGTCGGCTTTTATTTTAGTTGCAGCACTAATGTTCAGGCTGATGTCCATCCCAGCACATTATAGCTGATGTTCATTCTAGCATTGTCTATTTACCAGCTCTTCAGACTGATGATCATTCTAGTTGATTTGCCGTGCTACCGATTTCTCCGGTTGATGTTCCGTGAAACTTTTATTTTCTTTCTTTTCAAGATGGATTGTTCATGCTATTCAACCTCCATCTTGAGGGGGGGGGGTATTAGAGATATAAATATTTTTTTATTTTTACTTGAGATATTCTAGATCTTTCTCTTTTGATCAGTAAGGAGATGCACTTCATGATTATTGTTAGAAGCAATGATAATATCGTCAACATATACCAAAACAGCAATGAAACATGAACCGGAAGAGCGCACACAAACAATGAATGGTCAGACTGTGATTGAATAAAACAAGTGAGATCATGGTGGTAGAGAATTTAGCAAACCATTGTCTTGAGGCTTGCCGAAGGTCATATAGCAACTTATGTAGTCGGCAAACAGCATTGGGAGGTAAAGAAGATTGAGTAGAAGAGTACCCAGGTGGCAAATGCATGTAAACTTCCTCAAAGAGTTCTCCATGTAGGAAAGCCTTATTGACGTCGAGTTGAACCAGAGACCTGTTGTTGATAGCAGCAAGTGCAAGAAGAACACGAACAGTGGTGAGCTTGGCAACCAGGGAGAAGGTTTCTAAGAAGTCAATACCTTCCTGTTGAGTAAACCCCATGGCCACTAAACGAGCCTTATGTCTTTCAAGTGAACCATCTGATTTACACTTAACCTTGTAGAGCCGACGACAACCTACAACTTGTTTGCCAGGTGGAAGGGAAACAATGTACCAAGTCCTGTTAAGTTCAAGTGCTGGAATTTCAGCTTTCATGGCGGCTTGCCATTCCTATTTTTTTTTTTGAAAAATCTGGGATCCTTAAAATATTTCCTTGGGCTTGAAGTTGCTCACTCCACCAATGGTATTTCTGTTTGCCAAAGATACTATGCATTGGAAATTCTTAAGGATTCTGGCCTTTTGGTTGCAAGCCACGTGCCACTCCTTTTGAAGCTGGACTTAAACTTTTTGCATCTCATGGAGATCTCATCCCTGATCCTTCGGTGTATAGTCGGTTAATAGGCCGTTTACTTTACTTGACAATTACCAGGCCTGATATTTGTTACAGTGTTAATTTTCTCAGCCAATTCATGGCATCTCCTCGTGTTCCACATCTTCAGGCTGCTCACAAGCTTCTTGGCTATATTAAACATACAGTTGGTCAAGGCATTTTCTTCTCTTTATCTTCTGCTATACAACTTAATGCATTTTGTGATTCTGATTGGGCTTCTTGTGTTGATAGCCGTCGATCAATTTCTGGGTTTTGTATCTTTATTGGAGACTCTATTTCCAAGAAACAAGGTACTGTTTCCAGATCATCCACTGAAGCTGAATATAGGTCTATGGCTTATACTACACGTGAATTAATTTGGTTGTTCACTCTGTTCAAAGATCTTCATGTTTTACATCCAACCCCTGCTCATCTGTTTTGTGATAATCAGTTTGCACTTCATATTGCTGCCAATCCCATTTTTCATGAACGCACAAAACATATAGAGATCGAGTGCCACCTTGTTCATGAGCACATTATTAAAAGCACTTTGAAGACCTTTTCTGTTTCTTCATCATAACAACTTGCAGATCTCTTCACTAAACCTTTGCTTCCTTAAAAGTTTTCAGTTCTTGTATCCAAGATGGGAATTCTGAATATCCACTCTCTATCTTGAGGGGGGCTATTAGCATATATTTTATATTTTGTAATTTTTCTTTTCTGTTGTAACCACTTCTAGAATGTGCAGATGTGGATTTCTGTTATTTTGGACTGATGGTGCTAATATGCATGCACCATTCTGTTACATTTCTCTTAGCTTTTATTTTATTTGCAACTTGTATTCATCATTCAGAGCATGTAATGAAATATACAGATTTTTCATTACTTCAGTTCTTCTTCTATTAGTTATCAATAACTAATAGTAACAAGGTATATTTTCTTCTGTTTTTAATGTAACCTCTTGATCTTCACTTTATCAGCCAATTCTAATGCTGTTTGTAGTTTTTCTATTTCCAACCGTTGAAATATTCACTTACGATTTGATTCCCTAATTTCCATAATTGGTAAATTTCTCTATTATGGAACATCAGATGAAGTCCAAATAGGGAGCCCATGCCTGTTGCATCAAATAAGACCATAGCGTTACCCAGAAATTGTTACGTGGGCATATTTGGTTTAACTCATTTATTTTGTTCATGGAGTTTCAAATGGGCTTCCAATTTGAAAGGTTGTATTAGAATTCAACACTTGTACGGTAAAACCAAATCATGGTATGAGATTATATATTTTGATGCCCATGTCATACTCACCTATAGTTTGTCACGCAACACTAATTCAGTTGCGTGTCTCAATTTTTGCATTCGTCCCTTCTCTTGACTGTTGAATATCACTTTGAGAAAGGAGCAGCATGGAGATCCTAGGGACTCTCAAGTCACTAGCAGATTGAGATTATGGTTAAAAGCAGATTGGACTATTCATCTTGTTCATACCAAGAGAGAAAACAACAAATGTGCTCATTGGTTAGCTAAAGCTGGGCAGACTAATAATCTCCATTTCAAGATTTTTAAATATCCTCCTCCTCAGTTGATGGAACTTATAGTTGCTGATACTAGAAATATGTCAAGCTTGTTAGTTTCTGATTTGTAATTTCTTTCTGTTTCTGGGGCTTAGCCCCTCTTTATTTACAAAAAAATAAAAAATAAAATAAAATATCACTTTGAGAACTATATACATATGAATGATTAGATCACAAGGCATGATACTTATTATTATTATTATCTGAATGAAATTTGATGGACTACACAGGATTAATTAAGCTATCTGCCAAACAGTCATTAGGAACCTTGTGATATCTTAAGCTTGTTTTGTTGAGGGATGAATTTATTATTTGGTTAATTGAATTGATGATATACCTTTTAATTAACTCGTCTTGAACCCTCAGAAGAAAATAATATATAATAATAACAATAACAACGACAACATATTATTTTAAAAATACAAAATAGCAAAATATTAATAAAAATCATTTTTATAATGTAACATTTAATTTTATTATATTATAAAAATAGAAATTTTATTATGCTAAATAATAGGAGATTTAATGACCCAATGGGTGCAGCTCAGTTGGTAACTTGGCGCTGAGTTAGTGGGGTTGGATATGTGTTCGATTTCCGCTGAATGCATTCTTGGGGAGGGGGCTGAACCTTTAGCCATCACTGTTCCCCCGCACTTCGGATTAGTCCCATAGCCGGCTCAAAGAGTCGAAGCTCGTGGGGATACCGGAGGGAGCCAACTCGTCTCAAAGAAATAATTAGGGTTGGGTAACTCCAAAAAAAAAATAAAAAAAAATAGGAGATTTAATGAAGATACTACTACTTGTACAAAATTCAGTTCCGAAGAACGGACACTGCCATTTTGGGGAAAATTACACGTGGGACATTGATACGTTCCGACACGTGTTTGACATGTGATCAATTTTTTAGGACACATTGATTAGAGGGACATGCGATTATGACGCGATGAATGTATTTGGACACGTTTTGACATTTTTTGTACAAATAAAAAAAATTACAATTTAAAAATAAAATCAAAATATTCAATAAAAAATAAAAAGTTTAGAACCCTATGTTCTTCTGTCTTCACTCTTCACGACGCTGCTACTCCTCTTCTTCGTCATCTCCGACCCGTCGCCTCTCACCTCATCTCTGTTCGTCGTCTTCGTCTCTGGTCTGAATCAGCCTCATCTCTGCTCGTCGTCTTCGTCTCTGGTCTGAATCAGAAACCGTTCCTTCCTTTGATTTTGATTTCAACTGTTTAAGGTAAGTCTCTTTCGATCCTGATTTCAATTGTTTCTTCCTTTGATTTTGATTTCAATAGTTTGTTGTCTCTGCTTGTTGGTCCTTCCATTATATATTTCACCAGTGGCATCTTCTTATTTGTATTTTTAATTTTTGCTGATGTATGTTATTTGGCTTCGGTCTCAAAAATATGTCCCCCCATAAATATGAAGTAGCGGAATCTCTGGTTTTTTTTTAAGTTAATTTTGTAATTAAATTAGAAAATTTTACTTGCAAGCAACATATTTTGTAATTATACCTTGTTGATCTGATGTGTTAAAGTCCTCATTTGAAAGTTCTTCATATGATTCAATCCGTTGGAGCTAACCTTGTTCAGTATAGATGCCAAGCAGTTGATTTTTTCTTTTGCTCTTTTCATGATTTAGAGTCTTATCTTATCTTTTCTTTTCTTCTTTTTGGCTGTTTTCCTTCCATTTGGTTATTTTAATCTTAATATTGAATTGTAGGATTTCCATGTCATGTTTGATGGTCTAAATACAAAGATAGAGGAAACAGTAGTTATGGGAGATGTGAGACCACAAAGGCAGAGGAGAATTCCTTCATGGTTACCGGATTATGTTTAGTATCGTGCAATAAGCTCATGTGGGTAGTTAAGTAGTTTGTTAGAGTTGTTAGGGCAATATGATGTGGACTGATGTAATTGGGGGATAGTATAAAAATCCTTTTTCCTTCTTGTAAAAGATACTCTTGATTGATAATAAAAAATGGTTCTTTTCTCGTTGTTCTTTTCTCTGAGACATATCACCTAACATCTGGTGCTTCTATTTTGAAGCCAGCAATAAACTGTGTGACTGATAAGTGGATTATTAATCTACACAGCCAAATGTCAGTTGTTAGCCACTAAGCCCAATTCCAATGCTATACTTCTTAATCTATTATATTATTCTACCACAAAATTTTAAGAAGAAAATGATGGCATTTGTCAGCACTCAGTCAGTTGCAAATTAATTAGTTAACATTCTCTCATCCATTTGTAGCACCTGGACTTCAGAAGATAAAAATGACGATTTTTAGCTTGAGAATATAAACACTAAGAGAAACAGAAGAGCCATAAAAAACAATGTGCAAAGCCAAAATTCAAGCCTATCTCCCCAGCAAAATCTCTTCTTGTATGTTGAATTTCCTTTATCAACATTGAAGTCCTCAAAGTATAAACTGATTCCTGGGTCTCTCATCCTTACCTCACTATCATGCAACACTGAATTTGAGACACCCTGAACATTGTTGTTAACATAAATGTTGATGCAACAACAATCTTTTGGCTCACCCTTGGTGCTTCTATGCTGCAAGCGCATTGTTGCACCAACGTTCTTTCCATCCAAGTTGATGTATTCAAATGAGCCATGCTTGAACTTCGAGTCCATGAGGAAAAGGGGAATCTTGCCCAAGCTATTCAAATTAGATTGGACCGTTTTCTAACTCACCTAGTTTTAGTTCCGCTAGATATATTGAGGACAAATTAAATAAGAGATTAATGTATCTGTAGGACACTCCAAACACATAAATCCAATTTATTTTGCTCCTTTTGTCATTTGGATTTTTTATGCACTAAGATTATCTCATTAACTTTATTTTTGTTTGACATAGTTATAGAATTACAATATGAAATTTGAATATTTGATTAGTTATATGATTTATTATGAGTTGCTATATGTATTAAATGTAAATTATATTATATATATTAAAAATATTATTTAATATCAAAACGTGTCCCAGCGTGTTGAAATTTAGCATTTTTTAGAATTAACGTGTCGGAGTGTCCTGTCGTGTCCGTGTCCGTGCATCATTGGTGGCAATAATATATTTACAGAATTTATTATTATTATTATTATAAAAAGAACTTGAGCCTCCCATTCCTGAAAATGTTAAACAAGGTCTTTTTAAAGTAAGAATTATTCTAAAGTGAATTAAATAAAAATATTTATTATTAAATTAAAATAAATTAAATTTACGAGACAGTCTAATTAAAATTAATGCCACTTTTATCCTTATAATTTACATAATTAAACCCGTGTAATATTAAGCTTACGCTGCTCATTGTGATGTGTTGGCATTTTGCAAAATTGGCAATAAAGAAGTTTGAAGTGAAAGCAGCGTTTACTTCTCTTCCCAGGGGACACCACACCACACCATGCCTTCTGCACCGTCAAAACTCTATGCAGGTTCCATTGGACACTCTCCATCGCTCAACATACAATCTGTGCTTGCACACTATTGACATAATAATTTTGTTTCGTTGCAGATGATGTTAGCCTTCTCGTGGTGACGCTAGACACCAATCCTTTCTTCTGGAGCACTTATTCATTTCCCTTTTCCGATTTTCTCTCTCAAGTAATATGTATATATATACTCTCTTCAACTCAATGCTATTCCTAAACCCTCTGCTTCCAATCTCAAACATCTTTTTTTTTTTTGCAGGTACTTGCTTTTCTCAATTCAATTTTGCTCCTCAGTCAAATTAACCAAGTCGTCGTTATCGCCACCGGCTGCAATTCATGTGGCTATGTTTACGATTCCACTTCAAACAAGAACCATGCTTCCACAACCGGTACAATGCCCGCACTTTATTCCAATTTTCTCCACAATCTCGACGAATTTGTTGCTAAGGACCAGAAATTGGCAATGGCAACTGCTAACGCACCGGGAACTGTTCCACCTTCACTGCTATCGGGGTCCTTGTCCATGGCCCTCTGTTGTATCCTGCTACGCTCATTTTATTAGTTCTTTGGATTGTGGCCAATAAAAACACCTTTTTTTAACGATTAGGGCTTTCAATTTTTATTATTCAACTTTTGCCTTTTACTGAAATTGAATGATTTCACCTTGGACTTTGTATGTGCATCCCTGAGATTTTGGTTTGACCTGATTCGATAATCAGATATACAGAGAGCTTTTCGTTCAGGACCCATGCATCCTCAACCTCGGGTAAATCTGTTCTTACATGGAATTTTATTCTACACTTGAATATGTCTATGATGGACTTCGGTATTTTCTTGTATTACTGGGCTTCCTTGTTGGTTGATATTTGAGCTGAATGGATATTTTGAAAATGATACTTAGGTCCAGTCTGTCTCTGTCATCTAAATGTTGACAGTGTGGCCTTGGGTGTTTGAAATCATTGATGCTAAATATTGTGTTCAATATTACGTCTACATGTTGTTTCTCTTGTTTGTAACGAACAAGTAAAAATAAGGATTTGGTTTTCTCTATAAATTGTTCTGAGTTCAATATTGTTTTGGATAGTTCCAAGTTATAAATGATTATTGACATCTACTGGATTTTGAGCTGGTTTAAATTGGAGTATGAGTTTTCCAAATGCCCTAATGGAATTTTTTTATATGATTTGTATTTAAATTGATATGTAGGCCAGTGCTTGTTATAGAAATCAACATTCTGTTAGTATTTTCAACTGTTCTTCCTTTATTTTTATTTTTTTTTGCTTCTTTATTTTACCATTTTCTTTCCAATTTCCAGATTTTGAACAATTACATTTTTATTTACTAATTTATGAACAGATTTTATGCTTGCAAGGATCTGCTGACGGACCAGAACAGTATGTTCCTCATGATCTTAACGTTTTTTATATTTAATTTTTGCATTGACCTTTCACTTCAAATCACACTTTCGGTCCTTTTTAGGTATGTTGCAATCATGAATGCAATATTCTCTGCGCAGCATTCTACCGTATGTTTCTAATTTTCACGTTCCTTTTGTTTCATTTTCTTGCCTACACAATGTTATGTAGTCAGACATTTTCAGCAATATATTTATATAACTAACACTTAAAGATTGCTTGTGTTTTTATGTGTTACTAGTATTTGTGTGTAACCAATATTTTTGTAATGCAGGTGCCTATAGATTCTTGTTATATTGGTCCTAACAATTCCGCATTCCTCCAGCAGGTATTAATTTATTAAATACATACACATTGAATGAGTTGGTAATGCAGTTGCAGAATTTGTTTTATTGACTCTAATCATTTCTTTTATGTTATGAATTAGGCTTCATACATAACTGGTGGCATATATTACAGGCCTCCCCAAATGGACGGGCTTTTTCAATATCTTTCAGTAAGCTTGTCTCTTAATTGGCTCTTTTGAAGCAATGGTGTTATCTGTGATATAGTTTATCTTTTGGCTCTTAAAGTTTATGATTAATTAGTGGTCTCTGACCATATGACCAACAAATATGATTGTATTTAGTGGCTTCTTCCCCCCCTTATTTTGTCTTGTTTGCTTGATGCCAAAATTTTCTACCTTTATTTTTTCCTTTTTGTTGAGATTTGAATCGAGCTATGCTTTATGGGGGTCTTATATTCTCTTCTGATTTTGGAAGATGAAGAGGAAAAATGGACTATAGATTGAGATGCATTGGAGTGCATCACTATTCTGAAATTCCATACAATAATGACTTTAATGCTTTTATTATTGCACCACCAGTTGACCTCCTGATTTGGGGTCTTATATTAATGTGATTGTAGGTTAATTTTAACATTCTTCAAATTCTCTCTCTCTCTAAACTCCAATTTTGTTTGCCACCTTGGCCTTGTTTATAATTCAATATTTTTGGAACCAATTCGCGCGTATGATATACAGCTTAAAAAATGTGGTGAAAGACAAATAATATGATGTTGATACTAGTGTCCTCTGTTCACAAACCCATTTCTTGCTTATACGTCAATAGAATAGAGACTGAGATCATGTCATTGTGTTACTTCATCCTTTGTTTTAAGATTGGTGAAAGCTTTTTTTCAAGCTTTAAGGAATTCATAACTGATTTGCAATTGCATCATTGTGAAATAGGTTATCAACCTGAATGCCTTTAGAAGACACGCAGAAGAAATGAATGAAATTCAGTGTTATTTTCCTTCCTTCCTGAGAGGAAGTTGTTTCGCTGGCATGGAATTGGTTTTAAAAGTTGATGATACAGCTAATTGCTGTTTAACAAATAAGTCCTGAAATTTATTGACAAATCTCTATTTGGTAGTACTTCAAGATGGAGAATTTGTTTATTTCCATTACTGGTGTGTGTGATTAGAGCTCTTTCTTTCGTGGTTGCACTTCAAGATGGTTTGGTATGGTATAAAGTATAAACTACCTGGTGGGATCCTTTTGGGTCAACATAAAATGTAGGAACAATCTTTCAAAATCATGTAGTTTGGTATGCCCAATTTGGGTTCTTTGTTGTATTTACTATGTAGCTCCTAAAAGAGAATGAAACAATTGACTTCTTATTTTCTTCTAAAGAAAAAAATTCAATCAAATAATGTAGTAAATGTGCAAATCTTATGTTTTAACTCATTATATACTACTGTCTCAAACTTACAACTTTAATAACTGGCCTCTGACAGACTCTTGCCAATTTTAAGTAATAAACAAATCATCATATTTTTTTTTGTTTTATAAGGTTCAGGTTATTTGTATTTGCAATTTTACTTTTTGTTTTACTTCTGACACTGTTATAACCTTGTTTATGCAGACAGTGTTTGCCACAGACTTACATTCTCGTGCATTTTTACGGCTTCCTAAATCCGTAGGTGTGGATTTTCGTGCATCGTAAGTCGTTCCTTTCTGGTTAATCTTTTCCTGTTTTAGATTTCTTATTTTCATTTCCCTGTCGTCTCTGTTTCTCCTTCCTGTAAAGCTAGAAACATTTGGATTACAACCTAGTTATCATCAAACTTGTTTTTCTTTTTCTTTTTCTCCAATTGGTCCTTTCTTCTTACCTTTTTATTTTACGTTGGTTTAAAGGTACACAGCTATATGTGGCTCTGTTCTCTTACTATTGAATTTCTTTTTGTAATGGATTATATATGTAATGTAATTTTGAGGGACGTATGCAAGTTGTGTGACGTCAAACACTTTTTGTGCTGGCAATTTTCTTCTGTTTTTAATAGAAATTATGAGACGTGCACATAGATAATTGTATAAAATATGCAGGTGCTTCTGCCATAAGCAAACAATTGACATGGGCTATGTATGTTCTGTATGTTTATCCATATTCTGTGAGCATCATGACAAGTGTTCAACCTGCGGGTAAGTGTTCATTTCTCTAAGATTATATCATGGCCATTTGTTATTCTGTTTCTGTAAACTTCTCATATATGATACTTCAAATGAATGTAAATGTTCATTATTTAGTTTGCATATTATAGGAATCAGTTCAAATTTTACAGAAATCCTCCTCTTTCAATTGTGTGCTTTTATTTCTTCTTTTTTTTGGTAATCTAAGGGGGTTAGTGTGCTTTTATTTCTTTATTACCAGACTATTATTACTTTTTTTGTTAATTTGATATAAGTATCAAAGTTCATCTCTGCAGCTAAATTTTATTGCTGGAGGTGAAAAAACCGTACCTAATTTAGGGGTTAGCATATTAGAAGAAAAGCTATAAGATGAGGAAGACAATGCTTACTGATTAAGATGAAGTTTTTAACCTTATATCTTGGATAACCTCGTGATAATACCTATGCAACCCCATTATGTTCCAGCTTATGCGTTTCTACAAAATAAGTGATAGCTTATTCTTTTCTTCAATATATATATATATATATATATATATATAGAAAAAATATTTCTGTAGCAACTTTAGATAAGGTTATCTACACAACTATCCTTTATAACTATGTACTACCGGTAATACATAGTTATAACATTAAAATTATTTTTTTCTCTCTCTCCACGTCAGCATACAGGTTCTGAAAAGTGACTGAGGAGGGAGAAAAAAAACTTTAATATTATAACTATGTACTACTGGTAGTACATAGTTATAAAGGGTAGCTGTAGATAATTTTATCTAAAGTGGCTGTAGAAATGTTTACCCTTATATATATATATGAGAAAAATATTTCTCAAGTCACTTGAGATATATTTATCTCCGGTCATCCCAAAACTATGCCGTTTTGTTTATTTATTTTCTCATATTAATTGATTCACTATTGAATGATTATGATTCCCTTTTTCTCTCTCTTCTTTTATCACCATTGGTCCATCTTTGTATAGTTATGATTTAGTGACCGGACAAAAAGTTATCTCAAGTAACTTGAGAAACGATAAGCCCTATATATATATATATATATATATATATATATATATATATAATTTAGTCCACCTGCTATATTGCTACTAAAACTCTAAATTCATCATATATAAACTATTCAATGAATTCAATTGTAATTGATTTTGTTTTTGAATATATAAAATTTACTCTATATATTATTTTGCCACCCAAGCCTGGAGCATAGCTGCTCCTTGATAGTCGAAAGGTTACAGGTTTGAATTCAGAAAACAATAAAGGTAAAACTGCCTATTAGGATTTTCTTCACCCCTATCCTTGTAAATCGTGATTTAATGGGGGAGTGAATTTAGCTATTTTGCCTTTAGATCTCAATTTTTGGATGAATGTCTTGATGTTACTTGCTTTTTTTCTTTTCTAGGTTTGACAATGCTTTGTGCATACTGGATTCTGGATGCATTATATGGCCTTTATTTTTAATCTCTTCAACAATTCTTAATTGCATAATAGAATGTGAGAAATGAAATGAAAATTCTAGCAATTGACCTTTGAGAATCACTGGCCTGAGAGTTTCATGGGAAAAATAAATTCCTTGTGAAATTATTATCCCAAGGATTTATTTTAAATGAGTATATAGAAAAGACTAGTGAAAAGAAGACCTGCAATTTATGATGAATGTGTTGCGTCTTTGACTCTTCGGTAATTTCAAGTAGTATAGAAAATTCCGTCAATCTTTAGGCAAAGTTTCACATTCTTCCACCCTAGAATGGGAACTAAAATAGAGAAACAAACGTGAATGCACTTGGAAGGAAACAGAAACACGAGTGACAAAACTATGATTGGCTTCAGCCATTCAGGATGGTAACTGTTATTGAGACCTCAGTTGTTTGTTGAGTGGTAACTTGGTCATTTGATACTGCACTATACCTCCTGGTAAATATAATTTACTATGTTTTCATTTACCTCGGTTATTTTGTGTCTCTGCACGTTCTGCAGGTCTGTATTTGGCCAGGCTCAACCAGATGTTGCCTCAGCAGCCGACCGGAAAAGAAAGGCTTGATACATTATGTTGTATCCGGGCGGGCGCTTAACATTTATTTTGTCACGTCCATCAAGCGAGCTGACCGGCTAAGGTTCTCTTCCATACATGTAGCATAATGCAATTTTGGAACCAAATTCCTTTTTCGTCTGTCTTGATGGGAAACTGAAGTTTATTATGGGAGATCATTGTAGGTCTAGCATCTACCTGGATAATTAAGTGCTTAACAGGATCTCTTTGTATGGGAGCTGCATAAAAGGCTTTTACCTGAAAGGTCTCAGCTCCTTTAGAAAGCTATGATTTGCATTATGTTCACATGGTCCGCTGAGTTCTTTATTTAATACCATCTTTTCCTTTCTGATTAGCTATCATGAATTTGAAAATATTGTGAGTAGTATGGGTGTACTGAGCACTCTACATCCTTTACCAAATATGAAAAAAAATAATATATTTATACTATCCCTATCTTTATGATTATTTCATGCCCTATCTTTTTTTTTTTGGATAAGAGAATATCTACTCCTGTAATGTGCTTGTTGTATGGGGAAAGCCTCAAAAGTTTGTTCAATTAAAAGGTGTGTCTAATGATGGCTAACAGACAACTTAATGAAGAATGTGGATTGATGACTTTATGAACAAATGTCTTATCTCCAATCCAAGTTGATGCAATGATGTGTTCTGCTCTAATTTAAAATTAACAGGATCCAATGAATTTAGGGTTTATGTAGTGAAAGTATTCAAAATTTCAAACGATAGATTTTTAAATAAAAGAATTTCGAAAATACTTTTAATGGTTGTCTTTCAATACCAAAGTTGTGAATTATATTTAGTTTAATGTTAAAGCCGTTTTTCTATTCTAATATTTTTTAAAAATAAAACTATTATTAGAAAGAAAAATGTTTCTCGTACAATTCAAGTCAAATTTATGATTATTGTATGATTAGATTAGCTTATTTTAAGTTTAAAATAACTTGTAATTAAAATTTTATTATGAAAATATTTGAAAAACAGTGATTTTTTCTTTTAAAGTTAAATAAATTTAAACTTGCATTTATTTTCAAACATAATTTCATTTGAGTTATACAACAATTTCAATACCTGTTGAACATGTCTCATTTTTAGCTTTCCTTCTTCTGCAGAAATTTAATCAAATATAATTTTATAAAAGATCTTATTATAAAAAGAGTTATTTATTTACCAAAAAAAAGAGTTATTCTATTTTAATTTTATAATGAAGAAAGAAGTTAAAAGCTAAAAGAATATGTATATCAACTTTTTATAATTCTAATATTTATTTTACAGTTTTACTCTTATTTTAAATATATAGTTATATACCTACCAAAAAAAATTATATTTATAAATTGTATCATTCACCTTAATAATCATATTAATAATAAATCATTTCATCTTCTTTTCTTCAAAATTATCAAAACAACTTTATATAATCACAAACAATTTCAAATTTATTTTCTAAACTATTTTTTTTAACTTAAACTTAAAAGAATCTATTCGGACATGAATAGATGTGACTTAGACATCTGCGTAAGGGAATTTTTTAATATAGTAGGACCACCATGATCCTTCCATTAAGAAATTGACATGTGGATTATTTTTTTCTCCTTCTCTCTCCTATCTCCTCAACCTTTTCTCTCTTTTGAGTGAAATTTTAGTGCACCGTACATAATAAATTCAGTGGGGCGAACGAATGAGAGGCAAATGGATGAGAAGCTTGTATTTTCTGTCAAACTATACGGAGGAAAGAGAATTTTTTCTTTTTAATCCAGGTATCATGCTTTTAATGGAAGGCTCACCAATACCATGCACCCAGTCCACATTAAATATTTCCCTCTCTTTCTCTTACCTCCGTCTCACCAATTTTTTCTTGGGCCCGGAGCACACAAAACTAGCTCCTTCTCCGTATAGTTTGATAGAAAATGCAAGCTTCTCATTGGTTCGCCCCACCAAATTTATTATGTACCGGGTGTACTAAAATTTCATTGGAAAGAGAGAAAAAGTTGAGGAGAGAGAAGAAGAAAAAAAATAGTCCACGTGTCAATTTCTTAATGGAAGGACTATGGTGGTCCTAGACCATATTAAAAAATTTCACAGAGAAGAGAGAATTTTTTCTTTTTAGTCCAGGTGTCATGCTTTTAATGAAAGACTCACCATGTAGTCAGTCCACATTAAATATTTCCCTCTCTTTCTCTTACCTCCGCCTCACCAATTTTTAATTTTTTTTTGGTACATACGCCTCACCAATTTTTTCTTGGGCCAGGAGCACATAAAAACCTACTCTTGCATAAGCACTACAATGTTAGAGCAACTAGGTCCAGAGTGTTACTTTTCGTTTCTTGATTCTCAGCCAATTCCAATCTTCGAGGAATCAAAGGTTATTAAATATCTATTATAAAATGGAAAAAATGTTTGTATTTTAAAATGATTCAATTTATGTTATTTTACTCCCATAAAGAAGCGAGACCATACCTTTTCTTTTTGTTCACTCTCTTTTTCTTATTATTTATCTTTTTCTCTCGCTTAAAATGACACAATTTTATATCATTCAAAATTAAAATGACACATACTTTTCCCTTGTAAAATAAAATAAAATCACCTCCCTACCCTCGTCTGATTTGCACATGGACAATACACCGTTCTCACGAGTCCCGACCTGACCCGCCTTACTCCAACAACCTAAAATCACCCCAGGGAGAACGTTGGTATCGATACAGATGTTGAATTGTTTGTCTTTGAGCATGAACTGCATTACATGAAGCAAAGTTGAGTGGGATGCTTGCCTCCCACCAAATGAGTGCAAAGATATCCATAGATCTAGCTGGCGTGGCGAGCATAATCGTGCAGCTACTTGAGAAAGGTGATAGGTTGAGGTTCAATGTCGAAGGGGATAGGCTTGGTTGCATCCAGAGATTGCAAATTTGCAATGGTAGATGGTGTTGTATCTTTATGAGTGGCTTTAAGGCTTAAAATGTCTGTCTCACTATTGAGTGATAACATATCAGGTGGGGCACATAAATTTTGAGATAAGAGGATCTGCATCCATTATTCGTAACAACATTCAACAATTTACGATATAAGAGATACAAATATTTTATGAGTTGTAATGATAACAAGGTGGTGTTGGATACTTACTTCAAAATTATATCAATGCAATAGATTCCAAGTAACAGGAAATGAATACAATTAGTAATAAATATAGGAAACATCAAACTTGGAAAGCAAGACAGCGGTTTTCAGGTCAAAGGAATCAGAAATTTTAATATTATAGACATTAATCCTCAAAACCAAAAACGAAGAAATCAGGAAGATAATCATAATAACAAGTATTTGCCTCATCCAACATGTTGTTTACTAGGGAACTTTCAATTATCCACTTGAACTATCCAAGAGGCAAGAACAATTGTCATCACTTAACTCAGCAAATAAGGTCAGACATAAAAACAGCTTAATGGTTGTTATAAACTATCGGACGCACACCTTGTCTATTTTTTTTTTGATGATAATAAACAAGTGAAACCAAATTATCTAATAGTTTATTTAGTTTTTGAAAAATTATTGCATGACTTAATTTGTGACGAATTATGATGAAGAGAATGCAACAAAATTGTCATGAAATCGTGAAGATCGAAGTTGCAAGATAAAATCTTAGATTTCATGTAATGGTTGAATGAGGTGAATTATGGTCATTTCTTGGGTTAGAATCTTTATAGTTTTGGAAACTAAAGAAAGAAGATTTAAAGTTTTATTTTTAATCCAATTAGATTTTTAAGATTTGATTTTTGATTTGAAAAAGAAAAAGTTAATTTGAAGATTTTGATTTTATTTTCAAAAAGATATTTTGGAAAATTTTCTTAAAAATCATGATACAATATCTAGAGATTTTTCCTTAGAATTTGATTTTGAGAAAAAATCTATAAATACCATACCTTGAGTCCTTCTTGAAAGGTTTTTGAGCATTCAAGAGAAAAAATGCGTTGGTCATGTTATTTCTTAAGGCACATTTAAAATAATTTAAGAACCAAGTCATAAGTAGATTTATTGAGTCCACTACTTAGGTTTTATCTGTACCTACTTGCTTATTATTTAGAAGCGTGTAAGGTGATTACCACAAAAAAAAAGAAGCGTGTAAGGTAACTAATTTTGATTGGATTTTTTTCTTGTCCTTGGAGAAAGTCGTGGCTTAGAAATAAGTTGGTTTTTATTCATTGCGAATACAGACGAGAGCCGTCTGGCTTCGGAAAGTCTTTGATTAGACTCCGTGAGAATCTTAGGGTTAGGGTTTTGGAAACCTAAGATAAGGTCTCGAGTTAATTCTTATATAATGGTATAATATGATCTATTCTTATACTTTGAATTGATCGCTAATGGATTTGTCTCCCAATTGAATTGATGTATCCAAATTGGGGTCGTGAGTTTTTTTTGTCTCGAGTTGGAGTTTTTCTCAAATTAAAATACTCTGTTACTTCTTCCCTTTACTCTTTAATTTATCACAATTGTGTATTTTTTTTAAATTGCAATTTTTTTTTTTTTTGAATACAAATTGCAAAATTTTCAATAAGCTTAATCCATCCCCTTTCTTAAGTTAATCCGGAACCTAACATAAACAACAATATCCCCATGACACAAGCAGTGGCATAGCCACATCCAAGGCACCTGCTTGTTTTTTTTTACTTATTATATAATTAATTATAATTAACTAAGATAAAAATTATAATTTGGCACCACTTAAATAGAAAATCAAATACTCAATACAAAGTAACAACAAATCATCTAAATGCAAACAAATAATAAGGAACATGTATAGTATGTTTATTTTTGTGTTTTACCTTTTTTTTAATTTTTTTTACTTTATTCTAATTAATTATGTTATTTATTCTTACTCATATTATTTTAAAAAAGAAAGACTTCTAAACTTAATCACAAAAATGATTAGTTGACCTATTTCAAAATTTGGGACCAGCTAAACCAAATAAACCCATTTAAAAGTAGGAAAAAAGGTTTGTCCTTTTTAAGGACACAATGTTGTATCATTTTAGTTTTTGACATTATATCTTACAGGTAAAACATAGTTATAATATGAATTTTTTTTTTCTATTTCCTTAGTCATAGTGTTAAAAACTAAAAGGTCACAATTTATGTCTTTTGAAAGGACAAAGACTTAACCCTTGAAAGTAATAATCATGAAACCAAATGAATAACAGGACTGTAATTATGGAATTTGAAGGTTCATTGAACTATTGTGTTTTAGGTTATTGTACACACAAAGAATACTCAAAAACCTAATTCCCAAATGTGAGAACTTTCCATCGTGCTCATGGCTGTTGCAAACAAGTGCGATGTTCTTTAACATGAGATATTGAAAATTTAAGCAATAGAGATAATGAAAGAGGAGACGAAGGACAATGCTTATTGTACATATAATTATTATATTTGTGTGTTTTCATATCCTTAGGATAATGTTTGGTTCATTACTTATTATGTTGTGGGAGGAAAGTGAAATTCTTAAGTTTGAAATGTTTACCGAAAAGGTTAGTGTATATTTATATGTTTGCTTTAATATATAATCAACGACAATTGTTCATTTGAATTTTCAATATTATGTGACATTATTTAGTATATAATTTAGATAACTATGTTAGAATTTATAGTAAATTTTTTTCCTGATAAATTTGTGTAATTATAATAAATATTTTGATAATTTAACATGTCAAATTTTTTGACACCATCTAAATTTTTGACCCGGATCCGGACACAGGAGAACTTTTCCCTAATTTATTTGAGCAATAGCCGGTTATAAACTGCGTAGTTAGATCCTTTGGTACAATTCTGGGCTAAGGTAATATAAAGGGGGAACCATGCAAAATATAAAGGTCTAACCACAAACTCACTTTTCTGCAGCTCCTCCGGTGACAACTTCTGCAATTACAATGATGCAAATAGCCTTACATACAGCAGCTTATGAAATAAATCAGGACCCTATTAATCCATATAATTTTTTAACGGAGATGAAAGTACTATTTTAAATTTTTAACAGCACTTTAATTATATGACCTACTTAATTTTTAAAAAAATATAAACTTCTAAATAATATAAATCCTAGTTACTAGGATGGTTAATACTAAATTCTTAGATCAAGACTAGGTTTAATCTATACAAACCCTGCCAATATAAAACGGTTTTATCAATTATCATGTAATATGACATAAAATTAGTCACGTAATTCCAAAATTATGTCATTTTGAAAGTTAGGAGAATTAATAAATGATATTTTGATAAAAATTATATAATAAATAAAAAAAAAAAATTAAAACGCCCTTTATTAATTTTCCTAATTCTCCCAAAACAACATAATTTTGGAGTGACATTACCTAACTTTATATCATATGAAATGACAAACAATAAATTCATATAAAATATTTTGGACTTGATTCAACTTATTAATCTAATGTGAATTAAATTATGAGTTTGATATTTCTTATATTATAGAAGATAAAATTATTTTCTACATACATATAAAAATATGTGAGATTCATGTGGAAAAAAAAAGCAAAAAAAAAAATATGAGTCTCGTACACTCACTTTCATGTATATAGAAGATAAAATTACGTGAGACATTAAATCTTTAAATTATTGGCCAGAACTTTTAAATGTACACCTACAATTTTTTTTTAAAATTAAACTATTAATGAACAAAAAAAATAAAAAATAAAATCCGTTAGTAATAGAAGAGCATGTGTATCCGCACGCACAGTCGCATGCTCAGTGGCATTCGGAGTAGAAAATTCGAGAAAAGAGTGTGAACTGGACTTTGTTTAGAGTTTAGATAGCAGATCCAAAAGAGTACCCTAATTATCAAACCAAATAATATTCGTTCGAAACTGGAACTCGGGAGTTTACACTCACCGCAACAGCAACAGACACACACATGGCAGAAGAGAGCGAGAACAAAATGGACGACATAGAGTCTCAGATTCTAACTGCTATGAACTCTCGAATCCCTCACTTCAAGGAACAAGCCGAGTATTTCTCTTTCTCTCTCTTTATTTCTCATTCTTCTTCTTCTTCTTCGTTGAAACAACTCAACTCTATAATAGCGTTCTTGCTGTTTTGCCTTTCAATGCAGTTCTTTGACATTTGGAGGAGTTCGTAGATTGATCGAGAAGGACTTGGGTTTAGAGGAATTTGCTTTGGATGTTCATAAGGGATTTATCAAGCAATATTTAAACAAGGTAACCCTAATTTCAACCTAGTAGGGATATATGGTAGGTACTAGGGCATGAGACCAAAAGCACCTATTGTGCATTTTAGTGTTTTCTTTTGTTCACTAGTGAATGCATTCTATGCAAAGTGCTCTGACTCCTGAGGGAGTAACCTATTTGGCACAACAATTACTTCATTAATTGGTAGGACCCTGGACTTATAGAAATAAAATACTGGCTTAGAGAACGTATGAAGCACAAATCTGCTTTTACTTGGATTAAATGAGGGACTATTGTTCTCTTCTCTTTATTTAACCGTGAGCTCAATGTGTCATGTCTAACCAGACCTTGATAAATGTAATAAAGTATAATAGACAAGTTTATGGTGTTGAATGTATTCTTTCCAATTACCAGTACTTGCCATTAGTGATAATAACAACTTTGCTTTTTAATTTTGTGAATTCTGACGTGATGAAGAATGCTTAGATTTTTCTTATGTTTGTATATTAATGTGTGTGTTATTACCTCATTGCTGGTAGTGCATACAAGAGCGAGATGATGATGATGCCCCAAAGGTATCAGGTGAGGCAGGGGAAAAAGATGCAAGTACACAAGAGACAGAAGGACCAAAAGAAGAATGTCGATCAGAAGATGTAAAGGAGCTTTGCCCTGAAGATGATGAGAAAATGGAAGACTCTCCGGTATTTGGCCTGCTTAAAGAACAAAAAGGAGTTAAACTTGAAACCAAGGAAGCTAAAGGAAGTGGAAGGAAAGTAGTTCCAAGTGAGGCCCTAATTAAGAAAGCTGTTAGAAAAAGATCTTCGTACATCAGGGCTAATGCAGAGTATGCTGCTGGTTCTTTCAATTATTTATCATTCTAACCTCTCTTCATGACAATGCTCATATTCTCCCTGTCCCTATGACCCTACCCTCGATACATTTATTCACATCAACTGATTCTTTGGCTATAATTCTAAAGTTATGACATGGGTAAATTTTCACTTGTCAATTTCAGGAAAGTCACTATGGCTGGACTTCGTCGACTATTGGAGGAAGATCTTAAACTGGATAAATTTACTCTTGATCCGTATAAGAAGTTTATAAGTCAACAGCTTGATGAGGTGAGTGAAAAATCTGTCCAAAAAGTTTCACTGATGCTCATAACAAGCACAACAACATACTATCTGATGCTTAGCAAGTGTCTGTTAAATGTGAAGGTGTTAGCTTCTTCTGAAGTTTTGGAACCTGCAAACAATGCTAAGAAAATTGTTAAGAAGAAACCTGATACCAAAGTAACTAAAAAGGTCAGCAGTGAAGAGAACTCTGATACTTCAGATAAGGAGAGTGATAAGGATGAGAATCAGGAAGATGAAGTTAAAGTTAGAAAAAAGAGTGTTCCAAAGGGCAAGATGCAGACTTCTGTCAGACCCAAAAAGCGCAAAGCAGAGGAGACCAATCTATCCAGTAAGAAAAGGGTCAAGCCTGCTAAAGCAGCCTCAGATGACGATAGTGATGCAGAAGATAATGGAAAAAACTCTGAAGAAGATCAGTCCCATTCATCACCAGAGAAACCTACCAAGGTCATTTGAAATTATTGATCTTTATATGCTGATTGCAAATTGGAATGCTTGGTATAAGTTGAAAAGTTAAGGCCAAAGCCATAATTATTGAACAATCTTGATCTTTTAGATTAATAGCATCTCTTTATATGATGAAATAACCTCTTATTATCCTTCTCTGTGAGTTTCCATGAAGCTGTCCTCAACATTCTTTATTATTTGTTGATTTCTACAAGTTGAATGTATAAATTACATTTTTTTGGATTATATTTTCCCCCCCGAACTGCAGAAGAAAGAAATTTCAACTCCTGTGCATGGAAAACGTGTGGAGAAATTAAAATCTGTTATTAAAGCATGTGGAATGAGGTAATTTTCTTCCTAGGATTCCTTTTTATGATCCTAGATCTTTGTTGAGGATGATATTTTGATATTGTATATTTCTGTCAGTGTTCCTCCCACAATTTACAAAAAAGTCAAGCAGGCGCCTGAAAACAAACGGGAAGGGCAGTTAATTAAGGAGTTGGAGGAAATACTGTCTAGAGAAGGATTGTCTTCAAATCCATCTGAAAAGGGTGAGCTTGTGTTTGTTAATGATCCTTCATCCCTGGATTTTAGCTGCAGTATTTTCATCCTGATTGTGATTGAATAGAATATGTATTCCTTTCTCAAAGGAGCTCTTGGAACTGTAATTATCAGCGGTGCCCAATTATCTTTCATATAACCCTACTTGAAACCTTTGCTAGTTTTATCTTTGTCTTCTTTGTTTAGTTAGCTCTGAATAATCTGTGGGATATAAGAAACTATACTGAAATACTTGTGAGCATAATATAAATATACTTAAGTTGTCCTATAATTTATTCATATTTAAAAAAATAATTAATTACACGAGCCTTAACTTCCTTTGGTATGTATATTGTGGAGTGAAATGTTAACATCACAAATAGAAAATAAAATTTGGACATTATTTTATGCAGAAGGTTATACCTACTACTATTTTAGGCTTACAACTCTTACTATCTGTTTGGTTATCATTGGATTGATTTGAAATCAATGGCAGTTAGTTTTTCCTCTTTTTCAATCGTTGATTTCAAATTGATCCAACGATAAACACAGGTGGTAAGAGTGGTACGTCTAAAATTGTAGTAAGTATAACCGTCCCTTTATTTTATTGATATATGTTGTTTTCCTAGTAAAAGTGTCATTCTATATTATTGGAATTAGATAACATTAGTTTATGTGCCTGGACAACTACGGCTGTAAAATATAAGGATTATTTTTGTCCATTAAAAATTAAAAATTTGGAAGTTACTCTAATATCTGAAACTAGAGGAGAGGTTAATGTAATTTCAGTCAACCTCACATGTGTTTAGATTAATGCAATCTTCACTCTGATATGGTTTCATTCTATCTTTTCATTTAACGTCTCCTATTTTTCCTTTCCTTTTTTTTTTCTCACTTATTCAGAAATCAAGGAAGTGAGAAGGAAGAAGGATAGAGCCAAAGAACTTGAGGGTATTGATTTGAGCAATATTGTGACAAGTTCACGAAGAAGGTCAACAACTAGTTTTCTGGCTCCTCCACCTCCTAAGCCCAAGGTTCAACTTGAAACTAGTGGCAATGATGGTGGAGAAAATGATAATGACAACGATGATGAAGGCAATGATAATGAAGAGAATGAAGAAGATGAAGAAGAGGACAATAGCGATGATGATGGAAGTCAGAGTGAAGAATTTAACAACGGTAATTCTATTTAAAATACGTTGAGCTCTGCTTTGTTTCAATTTTGTTGGTTATATCAGAAATAATCTTTGATTCTGGAATCATGTGTTCTTTAGAGCTTTTTGCAGTGGTCAAGTAGTTTGTTGTTAATAATAGTTAATTGATTTGATAGGGTTGAAGCACCATGGATAGTAGGAACTCAAACTTTGTTGTCCTATCAAATGGTTTCAGCATTGTATAGCTTTGGACCATGCCCTTATTTCAAGTTCCATTTTGGTATCTACTTGCTGTCGACGATAATTTTTAAAACATCTAGTATCCTCTAAAAAATCACCCTTGAAAAATAATAAATCTTTTCATTTTTTCCTTCTTAATTTTCCGGGAGTGATGAATGATAAAAGTTTCAGGTTTATCCTTGCATTTCATTTTTCTTGATCTTTGTATTGTTGTAACCTGTTACAATTTTGTTTCGTGCTTATCTTTTAAGTTAATTTATTCTTAAATAATAAAGAAGAAAACGTGAGCTGCTTTTATTACACACAGCTTATTGTGAAATAATTTTACCGAAGACTACTAAACAGTCTAGTGCATTATCTTCTCTATGACAATAATATGCATGTGTTACTTCATTTTTCGCTTTGTTGGGAAGTGGTTGTCCTTATACTCTCTCATTTTTGCAGATGAAGAGGACAGTGATTGAACTCAGGCAGATTCCTCAGTAATTAAAAGGTGATTTTTTCCATAATTAATTAGGAGGTGATGGTGTATAATGCAATGTATTCTAGTGTGTTTTCTGTTTTGCTTTTGTATCTTTTCTTCTGTTTTTACTTTCCCAAATTTTCGAAACATTAATTTTAAGGTTGATCAGGATTAAAACATCAAATTGTGAATTAGTTTTTGATCAGTTTAATAACTAATATGATTTTCAAAACTTTGTAGCATAGTTGCAGGAAGCTCCTAAAAAAACTTTGGTAGATTCCAACTTGCGTAGAATTAAACAATTTGCCTTAGTGGTCTAAAAGAATCCTGACATATGGCACTTATATTGATATGATCTAGGTATATATGCCTTGTCATATTGCTTCTCACTCACTTCCGGATGAAAATCACCTCCAATTAAACTTCGGCTAGTGGGAAGGGTTATTATTCTACGCAGCCTTATCCTTGCATGTATGCAAAGAGATTGTAATTACTAATTACATTTAATATGTCAATCGGAAGTACTGATATTTTTTTTAAAAAAAAATTAGGTAGACTTTCTCTTGAGAGTGACAGTTGTTTTTCTGATTATGTCAGTATACCAATGCCAAATATGAGGGCTCCCATCAACATTTGGTGCTTGGTGAGCATAATGCATTTTCATGTGAGAAGGCAATTTTGCTGTGTAAACAGTATATCTAAGTTTGGTATTATTAGTTCTTTCGATGGGGTTAAAGGGGGTCTGCAGCTTCAAATTGATGGATGGAAGCTTCCATATATAATGATATCAAAACGAACAGGAGTTCATGTTGTTTCAGGAGCGCCTTTGTTCGTTGAGATACTATTTTTGAGGTAATGAAGCATGATACTAGGAACTATATTCAAATATCACTGTTCTAAAGACAACAGTTACTACCAAACCCAAAAAAGCTAGAAAGATGTCTTCCAATTACAAATCTAGCGAAATACTGATTCATACAGTATGCAGTTGGATGGTAGGATCACAAAGCCTGGCCATTCCTATGTGTTATTAAACTTTAAAGCTTACTATTGAGGAGCTTAAGCTTCTCTTTTATTGATGACATCCAAGACTGCAGATAGCAAACCTTTATTTATTAGTACTCCTAGTTCCCAGTATGAGCCTGGGTAGTGATAGATGATGTTCGCATCATTGATCAATGACACTTTATTAAGTTGTTCTGAGCTCATGTCTAGTACCATGAAAATTTCATTTTAGAACAAAAAGAAGACATTACATCGACTTGAACCAAGAACCTCAAATCAAATCCTCATTCACTCCAAACAATTTATCCAATTCGAGAGAGCTGGCAAAGAGACTCAAGGAGCATTCAATGGGCAGGTTTAAGAGATTTGACGTCTTACTCCAAACAATTTAACCAAATGGAGAGGGCTGGCAAAGAGACACAAGCTAGCATCCAATATGCAGATTTAAGAAATTTGACATCAATCAAATATGTGGCCCATGAATCAGTTCAAAGAAGTATCAATTTAAAGTCTAGCATGTTTAATTAAAATCCAATTTAAATAAAGCAGTAAATTTGGTCATAATCTGTTGGGTGAAACCTGAATGCTTACAAATTTGGCTTGTTTTGAGGACTAAGATTTAGGATGTATTTGAAAAATAAAATTATTGGATAGTAAATTGATTTAAATGTAATTAATTTTTTTTATTTTTAAATTTTTTTATTTTTATTTTTAGAAGATAACTATCTTTATGTTTATCATTATGAACTTTCTTTATCTTTAGGATTTTAAATTTTGAATTGGATTGTAAATTGTCTATAAAAGAGTGTTTAAGACCCCTATTTTAAGAAGTTGAATATTTTATTATTTTGATAAATCATAATTTAGAATGTAGGTTTCTTTTTTTCTATTTCAATTTCTTGTTTGGTCTATTTTTCTTTGTGTTTCAGCATCAGTGAGGCTAAAAGAAAATAACTTAGCCTTCCTTTATTCCGTTGACCCTAAAATTATAATCCATTGTAATTTGTCAAGACTTCAAAACTGAAGAATCCAAATCTTATAATATTAAATTCAACCACATCTTCTATCATCACAAAATAAACTATTGTTTTTTTAAATTAATTATTTAAAACTTATGAGATCATTTGATAACAGCACATGTATACCAGTCTCCTTTCTGGTCTATTGGTTTTGCCTGTTTCTGTCGAGATGGTATACTTAAAAGCTCAATTCATCTCAGTAGAAACACAGCATGTATAGGCCTTTAAATATGCAGTGACAGTAAAATGCACCATCATTAACATGAAAACCAAAAATTGCTATTTTTCTTAGTAAAACCAATCGCTTATTGGATAGAGCAAGCCATAGGAAAAAAAGAAAATAAGTTTGAACTTTAGTTAAGGAAAAAGAATATTCATATAATATAAAAATCATTTTAAGAAGAATGCACCGTTAATGCAATTTCTTCATCTTCTTCCTTTTTAAGACCTTGTAGGCAACTCTCTACTGTCTCCTTGCAAAATAAAAGTATATATTCGACATATTGGTTACATATGATAATTTCAACTCCTTTTGATACTAGTAGGTGTTTTTATTGGTTAGAATATATACTTCTCCTTGAGCAGTCAATGCTCTGCCTAACAGCGAAAACCCAACAAAGAAAAATAATTAAGATTATGCTTTATGTATTGGGGAATTGATTTAAGCACACACGCAACATAACTTAGTCATAGAAGTGACCCAACATTGAGTGGTTGAGGACACGTGGATAGCCTTGTCCTTTGATGAAATCAAGCCAATTTTCCTAATCAGAGAACTATACCCAAATATCAATTTACCACGTTTTTAGTGGGTTTTAAAGTTGTGGAGTTTGTTTGTCTCGCACTTTCTTTGACCCCTTTGGTTACTTGGTAATTAGATTATGTTACAAGTTGATAGTAGTGTCGTCACCGAACCCGTGGTTAGCAAATTCCGAGGTTTCTCTCTTGGTAAGTTAAAAATAGAAAAATACATAATCAATTTGGGCCGAGCCTGAGTGAATCGTAAGCCAATTCGGATTCGGGCGAGGTTAGTCTTGACAGCAGGAGTTTGAGGAAGTATTTATCTTAAAAAAAGGAAATTACATTATATATGTATTTGAATGAGATTTTTTTTTGTTAACCTTAAACTAAATTTAATGTCATGATTTTATTTATAATTTCTTGGAAGGTGAAGTGAATTTCTTCAAAAAATGATTGTATCGAACAATAATGACCCAATTAATTTGTACTTCGGTATTTCAGAAACATAGAAACGTATTGGATATGGCTTGTGAGCGAATTAGGTACTTAAATTATTCAATCCAATCCAATCGAAGGGTATGTTGTGACAAATGATGCTTCGACTCCAATGCAACAAAGAGGCAAACAATAAAAAAATAAAAAATCCCAATGCAAAGAGAATCTGTAAAGATGTATGCATCAATATAATTTATATTTTAATTAAAAATATAAATAATTAAATTTGAATCTTTTTTTCTGCTTAGTATGAGTACTTAATGTACATAGTAGTTAATTCAATTTTTTTGTCAATTTAAAAAGTATTTAGAATACTCATTTATTTACCAGTTGAGTTAATAGTTTATTTCCAATGGGTAGAAGTATATTAATATTTAATTTAGTTCAAATAATAAGTGGTATTTACGGATTGCATGTTAGACTCCACCTGACAAACTAGCAAATTACAAGGTGCACATAACTCAAATACTTTGGGGATTAGGTGCATGGGAACCGTATTTCTTTGAATTTTGTCCGAGTTAGTTCTTGACTTCTTGGTAATTTTTCACATTCCATTAACTGTCTATTTATATAGTTCTTATATATGACTGGCTTTTGCGTATGGCGTGAATATTAAGTTCAAGTATTTAGTTGCTTTTAAATCTATCTAAGCTTTTCAAAAGTAATTGTTTCTTTTGAATGTCACTTTAAAAGTGTGATAAACTTTTAAAAAATGAAACTATTATTGTTTTTCTTTCTTTCTTTCTTTTTTATTGTGCAAGTGTAAGTGATCATACAATGTAATATCAATTTTTTGCTTACTTTAAAGTGGTATAGATTATGTTCTGGGCACCCATTTTAAACCCAGCAAGTTGGACCCTTTAGTACTAAATTCATATTTAGAATCTTCTAGAAGGCATCTCTTGAGGAGCCATAAAGACTCAGCACATGAAAATTTCCCTTCTTCCCCAAGCAGAGGGTTCAGCATGCCCAGCCTGAAAAGGTTAGACTGACTAGGTGACACAGCTACATGTATTCTCTAAATATTTCCCTCACATATTGAAAGAGGATCTTCTTCTCTATTCTCCAAGAGAGCTGCCTCTATGCAGAGCCGTTCTAACAATTCACACACATTCCATGTTGATGCACATACATGAAAAGCTTCTGCAAGGTCTTAGTCCATATCATGGCTATTAGGAGTATTCCTAGATTGATATAATTTACCGTCAATGGGACATCTATGAATTCTCTGCAGTTTAGATTATTTTAGTAACTTCATGGCTATCTTTGGGACCAATGAGGTTAAAAATGTAAAAGTGAGTTGGTTTAGCAAAAAATTAATTATAGGGAAAAACAAGTATCATGTTGTAGGATAATTTTTTTGTCATGCTATAGAGACAATAAGTATGAGGTCCATCATGTTTAAAAAAAAAAGAAAAAAAAAATAGCACAAATATCGATGTATGTATAAATTTTTTTGCATTTGTTATGCAACATGACAAATGCAAAATCCTTAATTATATACTATATAATACGTATGTAATACTTTTTTTTTTTGCCCGAATAAACATATCAAATAATCTGTAATGCCTTAGATTAGAAAGAGTACGTCGATATTCACTTGAATGTGCCTCTGCCACTGAATAAAAGCATATGCATTAACAAAATAATAATTAAAGGGAAGTTATCTGTATTTATTTTCAAAACGATGTCGTTTTAGTATTGAAATCTTAAAAAATTATAAATATAAAGATTATTATAACCTTGAAATAAATTAAAATTACAAAACACTATAATTTCCGTCCCAAAACGATGTCGTATTGGGCATACTGCAAATAACTTATATACAGTAACTGCAGAAAAAACGAACCCATAATTAAATAAGAAAAAGGAAAAAATATTTTATAAACAAACTTTTTGGTGTCATTAAAAAACTTAATAAATTCTATTTGTGGAAAATGTGTGATGTGATTTAACTTTTGAGAATTCCTTTCTTAACCACTATATAAAATACATGCCACAAAACAAAAACTTTATGACAAATATATAACGTGACATACACACACAGACTCAATAATGTCATGTTTCGTCTAA